GCCTGAAAAAAAAAAAACTTTGATGAAAGATGACTTAGCTGAGGTGGGAAGCCGTATGATGGTAGTTCGTGGAGCAGTCCTTGGTGCTAAACACGGTCGAATGCTTTCGATATATCTAACGCTACAGCTAGGGATTTCTCATGTTTCTCTAATGAAGCTTGCAATGTATGGGTGACGTAGGCAAGTAAATCTCCAGTTGATCTTTGGTGGCGAAAGTCATATCGTCTATCATTGATAGTTGTTGGGCAGGCTTTTGTTCTCTTTTTTGTCAGCATCATGAAAAAATACTTGACTTATAGGAGATGGTGAATTGCTTGCAGAGAATCGGTGTCAAGTCTAGAGCACCCTTTTTGGGAATAATGCGTTGATGAAAGACAATTTTAGTCATTCGACTTTCAACGGGTGTAATGTCTGGCCGCACTCTCCCATGTGAATCCAAGGGAAAGTTTTCTGCGAATATCTCCTCAAAAATGTTCGCTTCCTCTTGCGATTTTGTTGCTAATGTGCCGTCGGCTTTGGAGAGTGATGAGAATGAATTATTAGTGAAATTCCTTCCGGATGTCTTAGCGAGGGACCAAAACGAACGGAAGCCATTGGGTCTATGAGTTTTGATCTTATTCTGATGATTTTTTTGATGCATCTATTGTTTGGCTGCAGTTATTCCTCGATTCAACATATTCTGCTCTAGTCACGAGGTCATGTTCCTTGCGCCAGCGATGGTAGGCTGTTTGTTTCAAGGCAACGACTCTAAGAACAGTTCTTGATGAACCAGGGTTTCGAAGCTGATGGTCTTTTCGAAGAATGGGGTATGTATATGTCCATTCCAAGCGTGATGATCTCAGATATTTTCGCGGCACACTATGAAGGATAATCAGAATCATAGCATATTCTATGCCAAGGAAACTCGGAGAAAAACATGCGGAGACCGTCCCAGTCTGGTAAGTTATAATGGGTAGGTTATGGAGATGAGTGTTTGATCAGAATTGCCTAGTGGAGCTCGTACATTTGTGATGTAAGGTGCTGAATTATTTGTGAGGAATGAGCCGAGTGTATTGGCTGAATGATTGTTGACCTCAGGAATTCGTGTAGGTTCCCTGATAAGCTGCTCTAAGCCGTGAGTTGATGGCGAAAGCTTCGGCACGTCGCCAGACTTTATCAGACTTCCCATGTTGATGATTTTTGCTGCTGGAGGGTTCTGCTGGATTAGTTTAAGCTTCAAGGACGAGAACTCGAAGAATTCTTCATGGGAAAGATCATTTGGTGATCAATAAAGACAACAAAAATATTTTTCCTACGACTACTACTGTAAGTGATGAATATTGTACACAAAACAATGGCAGTAAGCTTCTCCTTACACACGTGTGCGTAAAGAGAGCGATCGCACGGTTTTCATAGGTATGTTGATAGATGACTTTGTTTTTGTAGCTTAGGCGATGTGTCAATAACAAAATTACCTATTTCATTAATGTCAGTAGCTACGACGATGAGCAGATTATTTCTACACCACCAGAAATGTTGCAAAAAGATAGAATGGCTAAAAATGAGTTGCTACCCGATAAGTCTCGTGAATGATACGAAATAGCACATCAGAAATTCCTGGACTGGAGAATTAGAAATAATACCGTGTCGTTTTCGGAACATAATATATCCTTTTAGTATATTTTCAAGAATTATCAAATTCGATGAAATCATCATCACTCTGGTCGATATATTCCATGTTACGATCAACACTGAATATCAATCACAATATTAATATAGCAACATATCCCATTTCCTCAGATGGAAATCGGATGGATTCCGAACTTCCGAAGTAAAAAATCGAAAATACTTGATGCTGAACAGATCAATTATTTTCTGCAGATTGCTCCTGTTGATGAATATTTATTCATGAAGGTAATTTTTCAAATAATATACATACTCAACATTGAATTGATGAATTCCTTCTTCTTTAAATAACAGGAATAATTAGGAAAGATCAATCCTCGAAATGGTATTTATAAAATATCTGCTAATACCAATTGCTGGTGATGGCTCAGTTGTTAGAAGCGCTGCCTAGCTGATTCTATAGCCAGAGGTCGGCGGTTCAAAGCGCAGTTGGCGAACTTTTTTTTATTGTTTTTAATAACGATTACAGAATCTCTCGTTCGCACTGTTTCAATAAATAACCATTATGAATGTTAATTCCATATTTTTACATAATGTGTTTTCTGCTATTAATAAAGTTGTTTAGATATGAAAAACAGCTCCATTTCAGTTCGAATTGAGGAAAATGTCTCAGTATGCAATGTATCAATAAACAAACACAAGAATTTCGATTTGTAACTTTTCATGCAGTTGGTTTAGTGACGCGGGACGTGTATATATAAGTATTCATTATTTGTGCCATAATATACAATATCTGCACTATCCGGAAGAAAATATAGTGTAGTCGTAGAAAAAGTATAGTACAATTCTCGAGTTGTAAAGCAATTACGCACTTGTGGAGTTACACACTCGCCGCTATGCGGCATCGTGTGTAACTCTCTCCACTTCGTGCGTAATATGCGTTTTACAACTCTTGTTATGTAATATACTATTGTCTGATTCTGGCTATCGAGTTTGAACCACATAACATCGAACTTATTTGGTTCCAAAGTTTTTTCTCGATGACGATGATATTCACTGTCTGAAGGTTAATCGAGGAGGTGGTACATTTATTATTCCAGATTTTTTTGTGATTTTCTCTTCTCGTCTCTACAGTGTCATTCATAAAGTCGGCATCATATGGGAAAAACTTTCATTAATGACTTATTTTGAAATTCGAGTTGGACGTGGAGTTTTTCTTCAAAAAAGATGAAAAATGGCCTACTCAAACGGGGTCACGTGACTTTCGCTACATGTCAAAATTGACATTTTTTCAAATTAATCGCTGAAAGTCGGCTTATTTGTTCGAATATCGAAAAAGTTCACTTGAAATAGTTGTTTCTATTTGAATTTCACATATGTGACTCGGATTTTATCTTTCTATTACATTTTTTAGATTTCAATATATTTTTAAAATTATCGAAATTTCTGTAATATTAAAAAAATTGTTAATTCGATAAAACTACTTCATACCAGTAGTTTCATAATGCTACTAACTTTCAATTACTAATTATCACTAATTATCGACAAAAATATGATTTTCATCAGAAAATGATAATCTCCGCTTCAAAATTCTGTTATGTTTGATGCAAACATGACATCAAAATTCTGTTATGTTTGAATCGAGCATTTAGAAACGAAATTCATGTGAATTTATTTTTCCAGTACTGAAAAGATCAGTTTAAATGAATTTTGTTTCTGAATGCTTGACCATATATCAACTTTGCATCAAACATAACAGAATTTGGAAGCTGGTATTATCATTTTCTGAAGAAAATCATATTTCTGTCCATAATCAGTGATAATAAGTAATTGAAAGTGAGTAGCATGAAAAAGCTACTGGTATGAAGTAGTTTCGTGGAATTAACAATTCTCCAAATATTACAGAAATTTCGAAAAATTAAAAAAAAAATCAAAATCTTAAAGTTGCAATAGAAAGATCAAATTCGAGAAGCATGTGTAAAATTGAAATAGAAACAATTTTTTCAAGTAAACTTTTTCGATATTCGAACAAATAAGCCTACTTTCAGTGATTTATTTGAAAAAATGTCACTTTTAACATGTAACGAAAGTCACATGACCCTGATTGAGTAGGCCATTTTTCATCTGTTTTGAAGCAAAACTTAACGTCCAACTCGAATTCTGAAATAAGTCATTAATAAAAGTTTTCATCTCCATATGATGTCGACTTTATGAATGACACTGTATAAAATAAAAATATGAATACTATTTCAATTTACGTGTAGTGAGGACAAATAAAATGATTCGCCCCAAAATGTCACTGCGTTTGAAGAATTTTTCCATCAGAGAGCCGAAAATAATAATTCATCAGCTTGTCAGTGACAATTTGTATCGAAAAAGGTTTGGAGCAGAGAAATAAAGGTATATAGGATGAATATCAAATTTTTACTTATCTTTGGACGTTTCGGGAACGAATCTGCTCTCGTTTTCAACATAAAAAATGCAATACAAAAAAAACATGTTCCAATCCTTTTTCAATACAAATTATCACTGAGAAGCTAGTGAATTTTTATTTCAGGCTCTCTGGTAGGAAATTTCTTTAAACGAAGTGACATTTTGGGGCAAATCATCTGATTTGTCCTTACTACACGTATATTGAAATAATATTCATATTTTTATTTTATAAAAACGAGGCGAGAAACCCCCAAAAAATATGGAATAATGAATATAATTTATTTATACTGAAAACGGATTTTTTTCCTTTTGGGATATATGAACCTCCTCCCAGAATCCTGTACGATATTTTTCACACTGTGTGAATGGCTGAGATGAAATGGAATCCGTATCTCTACCATAGAAATTCAATCTTACAAAAAGTCCTTAGACAGGTTGAGTATAATTTTTGAAAATCTATTGTTTCATTCGTTAAATTTCCAGCCAACCTGTTAAAATCCTGCCCGACAGATGAACTTCTTCAAAAATTTTAAATTATTGTACAAGTGTTCAAGTTTCTTCTTGTTAGAGAGGTATTTTAAATGTCTATGGAACGAACTTTTTTTTATTCGGTTTAGCCATATCCGCAAGAGATCAGTCAAAAGACTTTTGATTTATTGGAATTTGTGTCTGAATTGTTTTGTTTTAATAAAAATGTGTCCCCATGAATTCAAAAGTGAACCAATTTCAGCGTTTCTTCAAATAAAAACATTCTCCCGGAAGTTATTCGGCTGTTTCGTGTTCGTTGGCCTACTCTGATGTATTCACCAAACTGTAATGAAATAATTAAACAGGATGATTTTTTGATGAAGTCTATGCATCATCTTTGTTTATTTCGTTATCAAACCTTGAAACATTTTGAATATATTCAATTAGTGAAACATTCAGAAAGAACTAAATGATAATGATTTTTTTTTTGTTTCAGTTTGCAACTTCGTGGTCCATGATCGCTGCCAGAAAACTGTAGCATCACCGTGTTCCAGCATTGCCGCCAGCCTTATCAAGGTAATTTAATTATTGTACAGGGTATACCAAATTGCTTGATTTTGGCAGTTTGCTCTATTTCAAGAACAGCTAGAGAAAAACTCATCACGGAGTCTGAGCTCGATTCTTGCGAAACGTTGATTGGTAAAAACCGCAATCCGATATCTCTAACTGTTTTCGAGATATATTGGCGGAAATTGACTTTTGACCAATTTCGAAAATAGATCATAACATTCTTATTGTAGGATGATTTTTCTAACAGTAAGAACCTACTATACATGCACTAATCAACGTAGAATGAGATACAGCTGCAAAAAAATATATCGCGCATCAATTGTTTGATATTGAAGCCAAAACGTTGTATTGGAGTTGTATATTCATTAGAGGCTCGTCGAGAACAATCTGATATATTCTTTTTGTATAAAGTTTTAAATAATTTATCTGACGCTCCAGATCTATTGTCAAAAATCTCAATTCATGTCCCTTCACGTTTTCTCAGACCTAACAATACTTTATTTTCTGTATCATTTTGTCATACAAACGCAGGAGAAAATTCACCACTACATAGAATGAAAAATCTGTACAATCGAAAGTTGTTTTCTGTAGATATTTTTCAATCCTCACTGAATGTTTTCAAAAAAAAAATCAGATACATATACAATTCTCACAGTGCATAGAATATTCAGCAAATTGTAATCATTTCAATGATAAATCTTATTTACTTCATTATCAAATTTTTCAAACTTATTTTAGTTTTTGGGTTATTAATTTATATGTACACCATGAAACTATGTAATGATTGTGAATAACAATCTGGACCTTGGGGTCTGTCGTTATCCTATTTGATTTTCAATAAATAAATAAATAAATATGGATGACTAGATATATCTTGACATTTTTATTTTTAGAAAGCCGATTTTTCTCTGATTTTCTGGAGTCGAATTCGACTATGGTTTCTTTTTTAGATAAAAACTTTGGTTTGATATCGGACAGTTGATAAGCGATATATTCTTTTCGGCTGGTGTATCTTATTCAAAATGTGAAAACTTCACAAACGATTTGATTTCCACAAAATTCTCACACAGTAGCTTGTCAGGTGATATACTGGTACAATGAACTAAACTAACGTTGGCTTGCTTGACTTTTATACATCCGACTTTCCCAACCTGAAGGATTAGTTACCTGTGGACAGGTACGATAAACCTCCATTTTCGGAAATTAGACACAATATCTACATTGAAATACGGTATACCGGACTAACTTGAAAGAGTTGACAGCGAATACTAAGAAAACAAATTCAACAGTGGTGAACTATCGAGGTCTAAATGATCATTAAGTAAAATGTCGAAATTTTTGAGTTTGCTGATTCCCAATGATTCAAAATGATTGAGTATTTTCTACGTGTAGAATTTCGAAATTATCATCAAAACTATGGTTTTCTTCTAATATGTGGTTGGCGTATGTTGAATTTGTTCTCTTTTTCAAAAAATGCATCTTATGTTCATGAATGCGCTGATTAAACGTACGACCTGTCAGACCGATATATACCTTAGGACAAGATCCACAGTTGAGTTTTGTATACCCCTGATTCTTCGAATTTAGAAGTTTTGTCTGTATTACTTATATAGGTACTCTGAATACTGTCTATCAAATTATCTCAAAGTGCATGTAGAGAGTTTCTTCCGTATGAAAAAAAATGTTATGGCATATTTTCCAAATCGATTAAATGTCAATTTTCGCCTATATCTCGGAAACGGTTAGAGATATCGAAATGCGGTTTTCTCCATTCGAAGTTCCACAAAACTCAATTCACTTAACGAAAGCATCAAAAGTGGATTCATATTACTTGATACATGAATAATATACATGAAATAAACGAGTACCCTGCAAAACAAAACTTGTTCGGAGGAAAAAAAAGGTAATTTCTATGTAGCTTATTGCGCTGTTCAGAGCGTTCAAACACTTACTCAAATAATTTGTCTGAACATACAAGTTTGATACTTAGTACTCAATATAAATGATTTGTCCACGACTGTTGCACCTACTCCACACCAGTGAATAATAGCGGTTAATAACCATTATCCACTGATCTAATAGTACATTATATACCGCGGGACTGAAGTAGTACATTTAATCCTGAAGGTAAAGTTTATGGCCCGACCGCAGGGAGGGCCATAATTTACCTGAAGGATTAAATGTACTTCAGTCGCAAGGTATATACGATACTTTTCGTACTTCCGGTATGATTTTATTAATTATTTCAATAATTTCAATCAGTTTTTTCTCTCTTCAACTCATTTAATAAACTGTCTTTAAAATAAGTTACCATAGTAACATTGCGTTGTGACAGTTATAATTTAGAAACATTGTCATTACTAGTGTCATTGTAAAGAAACATTGTTATTGATAATTATTGGTATCATGAGTGAAGAAGGTGTATCTGATATTGATAAAAGAGCAGCCGAAGTAGGTGAAGAATTGTTACCACCGAAATCTAGAAAACTATACGAGCAGCAGTACGATGCTACGAAGCCCTGGATACGAAGGCCTGGAAGGGACACATAAAATAAAAAAAATAAAAACTCTTCAAAATTCCGACTTATAACTCGGAATTTTAAAATTCCGAGTTATAACTCGGAATTTTACATCAAAATTCCGACTTATATCTCGGAATTTTAAAATTCCGTGTTATAACTCGGAATATTGGATGTAAAATTCCGAGTTATAACTCGGAATTTCAAAATTCCGAGTTATAACTCAGAATATTGGATGTAAAATTCCGACTTATATCTCGGAATTTTAAAATTCCGAGTTATAATTCGGAATTTTAAAATTCCGAGATATAAGTCGGAATTTTAAAATTCCGAGTTATAATTCGGAATTTTACATCAAAATTCCGACTTATAACTCGGAATTTTAAAATTCCGTGTTATAACTCGGAATATTGGATGTAAAATTCCGACTTATATCTCGGAATTTCAAAATTCCGAGTTATAACTCGGAATTTTACATCAAAATTCCGACTTATAACTCAGAATTTTAAAATTCCGACTTATAACTCGGAATTTTAAAATTCCAAGTTATAACTCGGAATTTTACATCAAAATTCCGACTTATATCTCGGAATTTTAAAATTCCGAGTTATAACTCGGAATTTTACATCCAATATTCCGAGTTATAACACGGAATTTTAAAATTCCGAGTTATAAGTCGGAATTTTGAAGAGTTTTTATTTTTTTTATTTTATGTGTCCCTTCCAGGGCTTCGTACGATGCTTTTAAAAAGTGGTGCCGCTTAAAAAATGTGAGACAACCTACTGAAAATGCGCTGTTAGTCTACTTCGATGATAAATCAAAAGCGGTTTGTGCCTCAACTCTCTGGGCACATTACTCAATGCTGAAATCGGTTATTAACATTAGAGAAGATATTGATATAAGTAAATTTCCAAAATTATTAGCTTTTTTGAAGAGAAGAAATGAGGGATTTAAGCCAAAGAAGTCAAGAATTCTCACGTCTGAGCAGGTAGATCAGTTCTTACGGGAGGCTCCGGATGATAAATATTTAATGCTTAAGGTAAATTGGGAAATTTGTTTATATTCAGAAATTTTAAGAAATCAATTTTTTTGTAGGTTGCACTTATTTTGGGCGCTGCGGGAGCTTGTCGTGGAAAAGAGTTGGTTGATTTAGAAATCGACGATGTGAGAGATTTGGGCGATTCCTTCCTAATTGCGATTAGAAACACCAAAAATAAAATTGACCGAAATTTTGTGATCAAAAATTCAGAAAACAGTGCCATCAGTTTTGTGGCGATATTTCGGAAATATGTGGCATTGCGAAAGACAGGGACAACTCATTCAAAATTTTTTGTTCAATACATCAACAAAGAATGTACTACGCGAGTAGTAGGAAAAAACATGTTTGGTACATTTCCACGGCAAATAGCAGCTTTCTTGAAATTAGAAAATGCGACGTCTTATACGGGACATTGTTTTAGACGCACATCTGCGTCTTTGTTAGCTGATTCGGGAGCAACAATAGACGTGCTGAAGAGACATGGAGGATGGAAATCCTTCAACGTGGCCGAGGGATATATTGAATCGTCTATTAAAAATAAACAAAAAATTTCAGATAAAATATTTGGTCAAGTCGCCGATTCGTCCACTATAGTTATGCCACAGTCCTCATTCTCGCTTCCTGTTTCCGCAGGATCTTCGAAACAAACACCAGTTCAATATGAAAAGGACCTATCTGTTACTCGTCAGTTACCTGCTGCATTAACCCAGGAAAGACTGGTCAATATGACGAACTGTCACAATATTAATTTGAATATCAACGTTAATTACCATTCTAATTAATTATATTTTTCAATAAAATATCCCTTAAATTCGTTTGTTTGTGATTTAATCGTTCCGGGAGTTTCGTCAATATTTAATCCCGGAGGGATTAAATGTGACACTTTAGTACCTGTCACAAGGGAGTGAAGTTGTCACTTTAGGCCCGGAAGTACGAAAAGTTCTTTATACGTTATAACGCGTACCTTACCAACTCTAGACCAGTAAATTATGGTTATTCACTGCTATTATTCACTGGTGTGAAAGATGGCTACCGTTTTGCTTGAGTAAGTACATGTATTATGAATATTTTATATAAGTCGTGCATGAAATGTACTAAAATTGCAATGTTTGTGATCATTGTATGTATGTATGTGTGTGGGCGGTCCGGGACCTGACGCACTTAGGCCTCCCTTTTCGGGCCCATTGTGCACCCACATTCCTGGGATCGCAAGTCAGCCATGGAGAAGGCCGATCTCGCGAGCAAAAGAGACCAACTTCCTAGGCCAAATCTTTTTAACATCCTCTGGGTCCAGGATACTGCTCCCAAAATGGATATCCCTTGCTGCCACTATTGCCGGGCATTCAGTGAGGATGTGAGTAGAAGTCTCTTCATCCTCTAGGCACCATCTGCATTCTGGATCCTCCACAATCCCGATCATGCTGAGATGTTTGTTCAGGTGGCAGTGCCCTGTCAGCAGGCCCAACACCAGTTTCAGCTCCTTCCTGTTCAAAGCCAAGAGGGCATTGGTCTGTCTTCGTGACGGGTTTCCTATATGGAGTTTGGACTGCCTCATTCGAGGAGCCTTTCTCCAGCTGTCCTGAACCTTTTCCGTCAGGATTTCCTTCATCTTGGAGTTGCTCCAGGATCGAGTGACCCCTAAGATTGGCTCTGGGCCAATCAATGAACCTTTCGCCCCCTTTCTGGCCAGACCATCGGCCATTTCGTTACCTGGTACCCCTGAGTGTCCAGGGACCCACAAAAGACATACCTTATTCGTTGCTGACAGCCTTTGTAGGCTATCTATGCACTCTGACACCAAGGCGGAGGTCACCCTATACGAGGTGAGCGCCTTGATCGCCGCCTGGCTGTCAGTGCATATAGTGATTGTTTGTGAGCATTAAAGTCCAATCTGAATCAGTAGCGGGAAAACAGAGGGTAGAAAGTCAGGTTGCTTTCAACCGATCAATCCAATGGTGACTCGGAAAATCCGTGTTATGCCACTGGTTAAGCCTCATACAGTTGAATTCAAATTTCTCAACCAAGATGGCAGATTCAATATGTCATACGAGCTTTGTAATAAATAGTGTTTCGAAAAACTAATGAAGTTTAAAAAACTAAGAAAACACTCTTTCATGGTAAGTCAAACTAAACAGAAGTAGAAAAGGAAATAATGAAAGTGTTGTTGTCGAAATATTCAAGAAACATTTTTTCTAGAAACAATATAAACAGCAAAACAACGTTTGCCGGGTCAGCTATAATCTTGGCTATAATCAATGAAATGACTAAAAATGAAATCAATATTTGTGTACTGTCTTTCCTGGTCTTTCCTTAAAATTTATTTCAGTAAGTAGCGTTAGCAACGAGCGCATGGTACAGCTAGTTCTTTTTTATGTTCTGGTCCCCACGAATAGGGATATCCTGTAATGTTCAGAGAACATCGTGAGAATCAAGGGAAAAAAGGTAGGAATTGGTGTTCTTCTGAAATTTCTGGAGGTTATATGCCTCGGGGAACACCTCCATTGGCAATGTGTACCAGATCCTCGCTGTTCGTAGGATGAACGAGTCTTTGGTTAATAATTCATTTCGAAATTCCACTTGGACGACAAGTTTTGCTTCAAAAAATGTGAAAATGGCCTACTCGGTCGAAGACATGTGATTTTAGCTACATGTTAAAAGTTACATTTTTTCAAATTATTCGCTGAAAATGGGCTTATTATTTGTTAGAATTTCGAAAATGTTTACTGAGAAAGGTTGTTTCGATTCCTATTGCTCAGGTGTCTCAAATTCGGACGTTCTATATATTGCACCTTTTAGTTCTCCATATTTTTTATTTCTTCCAAGATTTCATATAATAAAATTGTAACTTCTATAAAACTGTCCGAGACTTTGGTCAGATACGTAAAGTAGTTCGATGATATTTTGATAGATGACTTTGGTCACTTCGGCAACATTTTAGTACTAAAAGAATCAATTTCTTTTTTTTTTCTTTATGTTCTGGTTCCCACGAAAAGGGATATCCTGTAATGTTCAGAGAACATCGTGAGAACCAAGGGAAATAGGGAAGGAATTGGTGTTCTTTTTAAATTTCTGGACGTTATATGCCTCGGGGAACACCTCCCTTGGTAATGTGTTCCAGAGCCTCGCTGTTCGTTGGATGAACGAGTCTATAGAAAGAGATGTTCTGCAGGTCTCCAAAGTGACCACGAAGGGGTGCGAAGCCTCAACTCGACGAGTTAATCTCGCGGGGACTGCCAAGGGTGATACAATTGTTGATATTTCAGAAGAGCATCGTCCATGAAAATATCTATAAAATAGAGCCAGATCGCCAACTTTTCTACGGTGTTCCAGAGAAGTGAGTGAGTTTGTGAGCGAGGCATCACCCACGAGACGAATTGCCCTTTTTTGGACATAATCCAACAGTTTCAGGGTATGTTTGGGTGCTGCACTCCAATTATGGGAACAGTATTCCAGGGGAGGTCGGATCTGTGCCTTATAGATCATGAATTTGAATGAGAATTGCAGTTACAAGATACCCCTTTTTAAAAACAGAAAATACCTAATGATATCCACCAAGTTTTAATCCACTTGAAATGCAAATATCATATCAATAATATCTAATACCAGTTCAGTAAATCGGTAATATTCTTCTGTGCCTAAAAATAAACTAGGTGTCCAATCCGAAAAAATTAGTATATGAATATTTTTGAAGCCATCCTGTAGTTCTTGAAAGAATAATGCTATCAAAATTGCTATTGTAAATAATATAATTCGGTCCACCCTGTACATTTATTCATTCATCTGTTTCCTTTTCAGAATCCAGTAGCTCATTGTTGGTCGGAGCCTTTCCATCATAAAAGAAAATTTTGCAATGTCTGTAGGAAAAGACTGGACGACTGTGAATCGATTCACTGCGAAAGTAAGTTCCAAAGGGTTTTTATGAAAGTACAATCATTTTCACATTTTTGACTGATGACATGCTACTCTCCCATTGAAAACTGACAATTTTCACTTGTCTGTGAATACTAAAATTAATTTCAATATTCTGAAATCAAGGGTAGTATAGTGCTTTTCTTTAATGTCCTCCCACTTCTTATTCCTTAAACGGGCCAACTCAAAAATGTAAACCTTTTGATAATGAAATTGATGCGTGATATTTCGAAGTGAAATTGACAGATGAAAATTTCGAGATGGCGACTTGGCGTCTTCAAGGAAAAAAATCTTGTCTGTAGGTGTCTATCGTGATCTGGCGGAATCGAAATCAGTAGGCATTCAGGAAGGAATCATTTGTTTCAGTATTCGTTCATACGAGTATACAGTGTGTCCATTTAGTACGTAATTCTTCGATATCTCGAAATCAATTATCACAAGAGAAAAACTTTGGAGAAAAAACTTTTTTAGTTACTAAAGTTGCTCATTTCGAAAATATTTCCAACGATACTGGGTGTTCCATAAAAGCGGAGCAACTCGAAGACGAGTTTTTTCAAATGGAACACCCAGTATTGTTCATTCGAAATTTATTCCGCACGAGTTCAGCTCTACATCGCTGTAAAAAAAATTGGATTTAGTTGCGGCGTTGCCAAGTTATAATTGATTAACCCATTTTTACTACTATTGAAGGGCCATGTTCAATTGGGTATGGTATATTTGTTTATTGAAATTTCGAAGATATTTTTGGCATACAGTAGTAGCATAGTCTCACGTATACCAATCCAGTAATCTTGCGAGATAAACCTCTACAGGGTGCTAAAATTTACATTCTGAATATTGTAAGATTCAGACGACGATCATGAGAAATTTCCAAATGGAACACCCTGTATTTTTCATCACGGATTTATTTCGACATCATTCGCCTTTTCATCGCAGAAGAAAAAATCGTTATCGGTTGCGGCGTTTTGAAGTTATGAGTAATTTCCTTATTTTTACTACTATTTCGGGGTAATTTGTTCGTCCTGATGGTTCCTTAATTTGATTTGAGTGTGGGAATATTGCTTGCCACATGACATTCGAGGTTCTACGAAGATCATTCAGGTATTTTTGTGATATGTGCATCGTCCAAATTTGAAATATTTCGTAATCTTGCTACTTATGATTCAAATAATATGTGAAACAAGCAAACATGCCAAAAGCAACGCCTGTCTTTGAAATAACTTCTACAATACAAACAATGGAGATGCGGATTGCGAAAATTAGGAAATTTTTTTGAAATTTGGGCCATTTTTATTGTCGTTATTCCCACAATCCAAATCTCCATTCTCCTTGAAGAAGGTAAACATAATGATACAAACAATATGTCTCTACAACGCGGCTCTTGGGAGGAAATTCAGCAAAATGTCGAATCAATCCAAGATATATTTGATTGTAGCGATGTTTGACAGGTCATTACTCAAATATTTCGAACAAAATTCAAACTTGGAGAGCCTGTAAATGTTCCTTTTGTATAAAAATATATGAATGGTCAATAAACAAATTCGATTATACCGTAGCAACGCAATATTTCCACAATACAAATAAATGAAAGAACTATGACGTACAAATTACCCCGAAATAGTAGTGAAAATGAGGAAATCAACCATAACTTGACAACGCCGCAACCGATTCCGATTCGTTTTCCGGAGATAAAAAGGCGAAAGATGTCGAAATGAATTTTTGAATAAAAATACAGGGTGTTCCATTTGAAAAATCTTCTTCTATTTATATGTATTTATTTAACATTTCATTCCTCTTTGAGCATTGTGGCTATTTCGTAGTTCAAATTTTAGTAGTTCAACAACGTATTAATCATTTTTTTTTATATTAAAGTTCTGTGGAAAACAGTCAAAGGATTAATGGTAACTGATTCGCTATTGACTCTGATTGAACAGTTCATAATAGCCAGGAAAAACTTCACATTTTCCTTGCATTGTTTATTCTCACTGAATTTACATACAACAAAGCCATGAGATGTCCACAATACAAACTTCCATATTTCCTTGCAATCAAAGGTAATAAAATCAATCAACATGAACTTTGTTTCGAGCTTTGTTTGGCAAAAACATACATTCTGCATTTTCAAATGATAATATTACACTACCATTGCTTCTGTCAAAAAAATGTATGGAACCTTGTTTGAAGAACATTTAATTAACTATAATTTTGTATGGATTGATCTTTTCCTTACGGTGCTTAGTTTCCGAGATAACGACGAAAAACCTTCAAACCGGCCCTTTCCACCCCCCTACCGCCTAACGCACAAGGTCCACGGTTGGGGACTTTTGATATCTTAGCTTTAAGGATAAACCCTACAGCTTGAAACAATGTAGCACTATTTATTTCCGAATTAGGGGATTTTTCATTCTTCGTTTCCTGGCCTAATCCTTGCTAATTGTTTCAATGATACATATGAATGAGTGTTGAAAATATCTAACAGTCCGTCAATTACTCGTAATTTAGCGAATAAATCGTTATTCTTCAAGCCAGAATATGCAGGACAGACTAGTAAGATATTTTCCAGAGTTTCTTTCTGTTGCAGATTAAAAAAATATTATAGTTCAGTCATTGGGGATCCAAAATAAGGCTTACCTGGAAAAAAGTCCGGACGTTTAGAAACTTTGTAGGATTATAGTTTCGGGTGTCCAGAACTAAAATTCACAAAATGCACATTCCGGGACATGCCGCCGGCGCAGCCATCTTGCCAAGATGGCGCTCAAAAACGGTTTTCTGAAAATATCTCCAAAACGGTGCGTTTTTAGAAAAAATATGAAGACATAAAACTTTAAGATGAAGAAGTTTTCTACAAGAAATGTCTCGAGAATATTTCTGCTAAAGAGAGCCGTTTAGGCTCAAGAGCTGATTGAATGACAACATTTCTGTTAATTTCTATGAACTGCCCCTAACTATCTCCATATATGCGTATAAATTCATATTTTATAATAAAACGTGCTATTCAATTTGTTCCTCGTTATATTGGACTATTTTTAGATCAATTATGCGACAAAAATTTTGCATTTGCGACTTGCGAAATTTGGGCGATATAAAAATTGCATTATCGACGAATCTGGCGACTTTGCTCCAGAAGTATGTGGGTGGAGGATGGTTATGAGTAAATTTCGTACCTATACTATGTATCCGTAGATATAGGTACCTTCTCGTACTGTAAAACCGCCCATAAATTCATAGAAATTTGAAATTTTGCTTTCTTGTCTTTACCACTCCATTCCAATATGAGTAAATAAAGAAAATATATATTTCAGATGAGATATTTTTATAAACGGTAAAAACACAAGAACTTTTTCATCAACTAAATTACCTTTCCTAACAATTTGCCAATCAGTAATTTTACGAGAAAACCGGACATGAAAAAATTGCGAGACCGTATTTAACCAAGGAAAATGAAGTTTCTAACAACATTAGAAAAACATAAAGAGTTACAAGATCATATTGAAGTTTTTAAAAATGAACATGCCACTCCTGAGTTGCCTTTGCCGGTGAGAAATTTTTCCTTGCGCTCTATGGATTCAAAGACACAAATTACACCAATCTTGATAAATATCGATACCAGTGTTTCGTGAAGTCGGTAACAAAAAGTAAATTCAATTTGGCATCTTTACCACCGACAAGCGCAGCTGCACGACAGCATTCGTTGAGAACGTACTATCAGGTTCAACTATGGCGTGGTTGTCCGAAAGTAGTTGAAAAATGGGGTTGGAAGAAAACACAAACTGGCCTCACTCCAATAACTACTTTGAAAGATCCTGCTTCCAAAGCACTACTTGCTTTTTTATCTTGTAAGTACAAGGCGGCTTGTGGTAGAGCCTGCGGATGCAGGAAAGCAGGATTGCGATGTTCGATGATTTGCGGTGTCTGCAACGGGAAAACTTGTGAAAATATCAGCCAAGTGACACTGGACGAATCCGATGAAGAACACCTCCATTCGCTGCATGTTGATTCTTTATCGACTGCAGAAGAAGAATCCGACGAGTTGAAGGAAATTAACATCGATTCTGGAGCTGAGGTAACCAGTTTCCCCGTTGAATATATCGAAATCAACGAGCCAGGTCCGTCTGGCCTTTGCCAAAAATAATTTCAGTACCTGAGTGGATTAGGACTACAGGGGAAACCACTTTAAAAAAAACGCGCCGTGTACTTAGCCTCTTGGGTGGTGTGGAAACAAGTACAGCATTCAAAATCGAAATTGATTGATCATAAATTATTAACATGGATTAATTGATGAATTCATCGATTAATTGAACAATGGATATCCACCGTTTCGTGATAAATATTTTTGAAGTCGTTAAATATCAGATTTGGGGACCCCTAATACACATATCATTTCCGAAACTCGCCACTACAGAAAACTTACGCAACATTTGTAATTTGGTAAGGGCACTTGTGCCCTAACGAGGGTACTTTAGCGAGAATATTCTAGGAACATATTTCACAGGAAATATCCTCTGTCAGCAAGCTATGAATATAACGAGAAACCAATTAGATAGCCCGTTTCATAAGATGAATTTATACGCATATTTGGAGATAGTTAGGGGCAGTTTATTGAAATTAACAGAATATGATGTCATTCAATCAGCTCTTGGGCCTAAACGGCTCACTTCAGCGAAAATATACTGGGAACATTTCTTTTAGAAAATTTCTTCATCTTAAATTTTTATGTCTTCATATTTTTTCTAAAAACGCACCGTTTTGGAGATATTTTCAAAAAACCGTTTTTGAGCGCCATCTTGGCAAGATTGCGGCGCCGGCGGCATGTCCCGGAATGTGCATTTTGTGAATTTTAGTTCTGGACACCCAAAACTATAATCCTACAAAGTTTCAAAACTTCCGGACTTTTTTCCAGGTAAAAATCCCCAATGACTGGCCTATTATAGAACATAGGTCTCCAGTTTCAGTACGAAAGTGGCAATGATTCTGCTACGGGAATTTACCAAGCAATTTTCAATTATTCTCGATAAGTGCTATACAGTGTTGAATATTGGTGAATGCAGAGTAACATTTTCTAAAAATATTCGGTTATGTCATGGAAGAAGGTGTTACGTGCATATCTAACTTGTCCCGTCTGTATTTGTTTCTATTCTCCATACCTGAGCAGGTACACAGTGGTAGAAGGGCATATGCTACATTGAACATAAGCATAAATCCAGATGTCGATCTAAAAATGATGTGATAGCAAAATGCTGTGAATCATAAGAAATCAACCTAAAACTTATCCTCACAATTGCATAGATCCAATTATTAATAGGGCATCACATTCATGCCACACATCACATCCGTTACTCGAAATGAGGACCCTTTTGGTCATTTCATGATTCACATCATGATGCCAAATGGAACTCACAGTACGTATCAAACGACTCCTAATTCAACATCAAAATTGATTGATTCCGTTTGTTACATGAATAGACAAGAATGTGAGGTTCCAGTGAGTCAATTGGTTGTTAAGGAGCCTCATAAATGCACCTACATCAAGTTTCAAATCCAATGCAATGTGACGAATATTGCGAATGTTTTGTGAAATAAAGAGTCTCCTGACAGTACCAATGCTGTTTTCTTGTAATTTACATTGTTACATTTAGCAAGATATGAATGTGACATCTCAGAGATGTTTGTATTAGACTTCAAACTATAGTTTTTCCTGTGTTTCCTTATAGTCTGCGAGTACTTCGTACACGTGGAGTGCCAGGACTTCGCGGTGGCCGATTGCAAAGAGAACGCCACGTATTTGCCGGGCAAGCAGCTGTCGTTCGTTCACCACCAGCACCACTGGCGCGAGGGCAACCTGCCCAACAACTCCAAGTGCGCCCTCTGCAAGAAGACCTGCTGGACGACGGAATGCCTGTCGGGGTACCGGTGCGAATGGTGCGGCATGACGGTGAGTAAAATTTGTAAAAGTTGTGAAATATGTATATCGCTACTTCGAAGTTGAGAACCAACTCCCCAGAAGTCAAAACTTGTGCGGGGTTAGAAAGAGCGGGACCTACAGCTTATAGTGGAATTCGAACCACTTCTAGAGCCTTGAAGTGATGGCAGGATTACCACCATGAATCAGACATTTTCAAAGAAAAATGCTCAGCCGATAGCCGGATTCGAACCGACGTACCTTCGCATATCGTGAACGGTTATCTAGCGAATTTCAGCGCATAGAGAAACTCGGCCACGGCGTTTCAGGTCGACCCACTGAGCAAAGAAATATTTCAATAATATTGCGACAGTATTTCAATGTGATGCGTAATGTTACATCAGCGGTTGTCACTATTTTACTGCAAGGTTGCAGCAACTACTGAAACAGACGCTCAGTTATATTATGAATGAAATGTTCTCGAATGAATCATTCCAGCAAAGTTATTGCAACATTGTGTATGAAGTACAGTAACATTTCTAATACAATGCATTAATGTAATCTTGATGTAATATTTTATTAAGGTTACTGACAACATGAAATAAAAAGTACAGGAAAATTACATATTTGATATTATGAAAATGAAAAATGGTACAACATAATTTTATTCACAGATAGTAGATATCATATGAGGTCATCTGAAATTCTCAACATCCGCTAAATACCACATGAAGATAGCAGCATTCTTCAACAGATATTTCTGGATGTCCTAAAACACGTCAACGTCAACTCAAACTTACCGAACTCACCAAATAAAATCCACGGTCGTACTGGTGACAGTGAAACTACCGCTTTTTCAGGAACCGAGTTCCGTAAATAACCTTCCTCCAGGAACCAACCGTACATTTCATATTTACGGAACGGAAAATTACTAACCAAAATAACCGAATAAGGCTAACGGTCCTGATGGAATTCCACCCATTATCCTCAAAAAATGTGCACCAGAGTTAGCACCGATTCTCTGCAAGTTGTTTACCGTCTCGTACAGGTCGGGTATTTTTCCATCATGCTGGAAGACAGCTAGAGTCCAACCAATCCCCAAAAAAGGGAACAAGAACCTGCCCAACAACTACAGACCCATTGCCCTGTTATCAGTAATCTCCAAAGTGATGGAGAAAGCCATCAATATTGAGCTTATCAAATATCTGGATAGCTCAGGAATCATCAATGATAGACAATACGGCTTTCGCCACCGATGATCTACTGGAGATCTACTTGCCTACGTCACCCATTTATGGCTAGCTTCATTATCTCTAGCTGTCGCGTTGGACATATCGAAAGCATTCGACCGTGTTTGGCACGAAGGACTCCTCCACAAACTACCATCATACGGCTTACCACCTCAGCTATGCCATCTCTTATCGAGTTTTCTTTAAGGCAGATCGCTTCACGTGGTGGTGGACGGTGTATTGTCTGATACCATTGGCATCAATTCCGGCGTTCCACAAGGATCAATTTTGGCACCAACATTATTCCTGCTTCATAGCAATGATCTGTTGGGAGTAACAACTTGCCCCATCCAAAGTTTTGCAGATGATAGTACCCTCCATACTGCGTTCTCTTCCAGAATTCCCATCTCTTCCCAGGAAACTAAGAACTCACGGCGCAGGCAGGTCAATGCTGTCAATGAAGATCTTGCTGAAATCACAGCCTGGGGAACCAACAACCTAGTTGAATTCAACGCCACCAAAACGCAAGCCTGCATTTTCTCTAGAAAGGCGGAACTCAGTATGCCCGATATTGTAATGTCTGGCTCCACCATTCCCACCAAGCCTACCATATCTATGCTCGGTATTTCCATCAGCAACACTCTTTCATGGGATAATCATGTCAGATCCATCGCAAAAGCTGATTTACAAAAACTCGGATTCTTGTTCCGTGCGAATAGCTACTTTTACACCTCAACAGCTTCTCATGATCTACAAAGCGCAGATACGGCCTGTTCTAGAATTCTGTTCCCACATATGGGGTTCAGCACCAAAACATACGCTGTTGCTCTTAGATTCCATCCAGAGAAGAGCCATTCGCCTGGTGGGTGACGCCACACTCACTCACTCTTTGACATCATTGGAACACCGTAGAAAGTTCGGCGACCTGTCACTTTTCTATCGATACTTCCACGGGAAATGTTCTTCGGAAATCTCTGCTATCATCCCTTCACTAGCAATGCCAATCAGACAAACTAGACAAGCCCAGTCAGCACGTCCTTTCGTTGTCAACCTCGAAAGATGTCGAACAGCACTTTATCAAGACTCCTTCATCCATAGAACGGCTAGGCTCTGGAGTTCATTGCCTGTGGAAGTATTCCCAGCAACATATAATCTCCAAAAGTTCAAAATAAAATCCAATACCTACCTCCTGTCCCTATTCTCCCTAGGAACGCACGATGTTCTCTGAACATTATAGGGATTCCCTTTCGTGCGCTTCAAGCGATAAAAAAAACCAAGTTGATTTACGGAACATGCCCCATATTTACAAGATAATTTGACATCCGATGTTTGTTGTTGTTGTCGTCTGCCAGACGGGCACCATGACGCCAATGCGCGTTCTTTAATTTCCCGTGCAGTGCTATGAGCTACACTATGACACTACAATCACGTGATTTTCACACTACACCAACGCAACACCACACTGATTTCGCCTCACACTGTAATTGCCGAACTCACCTAATAGAACGCAAATACTATCATCAATGTTTTTGGTGCGTTTCAGAGTCACGCGGCGTGTCACGTGAGCATCACTGGCGAGTGCACTTTCGGCATGCTGGAGCCGATCTATCTGCCCCCGCATGCGGTCAGCATCCCCCGGACGGAGGTGCCCATGGAGGCGATCATCGGGGTGCAGGTCAGAAGGAAGGACACGCTGTCCCGTGAGTATTGAGCTCTGCTGCGGCTGGGTCGCTAGGAGCATGTTCCGATATTCCTGAACAGTACTGACCCAGTATATTTTATCGTTTCGATTTTACTGAAATCTATTTGCAATGTTTTCGATCATTCCAAGGAACCCTGTTAGAAGCTTAGAGTTGACTGTTGGCCACTGGTGCAGAAATGGTGATGAAGTGTCATTCATGAAATATTAAATTAAGCGTTGGTAGTTAGTCATGAGTCGATGAAAATTATATATCATTATTCTCAAATACTTTATGAAATCGAACTGGAAGATCTCACAGTGGTAGTAGACGCTCAACCCTGAAGCTGAAACTGCCAATAATCTACAAGATATTCCTACTTTTGATATCAAATTTCACAGCTATATGATTCATTTTTTCATCACTGAAACCATGAAACTGGAGATACTAGAGCTTGGTGTTTCTGTTGAATCAGAATCGGTATCGGATGATATTATGTGTTCTAAGATCCATAATGTCAACGTGAATGAATAGGTTAGGTTAGGTTCCATGTGAGTGGGGCGAACACCTCCCCTCCACTGCGACCCCAGATGGGTCTATTGTGGCTCACCCCTAGAGGTTACAGTTCACCGTACAGTCTACATCTTTTTACAAAGTTCATGGTTGAATTGGGTGAGATTTGTCTGAAATCGATAGGTTCTAGGTTGGTAAAGCCAAATGTGTCGAATCTTAGTCTTTCTAAGCTAGAGCATGAACATAATATGTGTTCAGCCGTTTCGTCTTCCACGCAACAGAACCGACAGTCCGTTTGTTGGTTCAGACCCATCCTTCCCAGGTGGTATCTTAGACGACAGTGTCCCGTGAGCAGTCCAGTCAGAATTCGCAGGTTACCCCTGCTCCATTCTAGGATCTGCCTGGTTATTTTTTCCGATGGTTTAGGCAGGAACGCCTTCGAATGGGTTAATCCTGGTAATTCGGACCAGTACGTGAGTGTTTTTCCCTCCGCCCAGCCCGAGATAGTTGTTTTCGCCGCACTTGCGGTGACCCCAAAATATGGTTCTGGTCCTATGAACACAGATTCGGTTCCCTGTTTGGCGAGGATGTCGGCTTTCTCGTTACCCTCCACCCCCTGGTGTCCAGGCACCCACAGCAAAGTGACTCTGTTGTTAGCACCCAGGCTTTCTAGGGATTCAATGCAGCTCCATACAAGCTTGGAATTTATCTTGCTGGAGCTCAGTGCTTTAAGAGCAGCCTGACTGTCTGATACAATACTGATATTTTTGTTTACTAGAGGTTTATTCAACAACTCTCTAGCACAAAATGCAATTGCGAATACCTCCGCCTGAAAGATTGTAGCATATTTGCCGAGATTGACGGAAATTTCCGTCTTCGATTTTCTGCTGAACACACCGGCTCCCACTCCACGAGGGGTTTTCGAACCATCTGTGTACATTACGTGTTCGGTCTCTGGGAATCGGACTGATCCGCTTGCCCATTCGTCTCTCTTCGGGAAGAAGACTTTGAAAGACTTTTTCACGTGTGTCTGAGTGGCCAACATGTCGGAAACCATTCCTAGAGTTCGGTGATTTTTTGTTTCACACAGTATCCCGGAGTGGTCCAGCAGTCGCCCCCCTCTGATTTGATTTTCCAATGACAGGAACAATAACGTGAGTGAATAAGATAATAATGAGAATGATGAAAATGAAAACTAACGAAACAAAACATCAAAAATCGAAAGATCATAGGTTATTTTGGGTCTGTTTTGCTGCCAGTGTATGTACCACCAGTACCGCCAAAATCGTTTTTAATTAGATGAAGATTCAAAACTGCTACTGTTTGATACTGTCAGCAATATCGGAACATGACTTAGGTGGCTCGTAAGTCTTGCGCACGCGTAGACTCGGCTTCGCTTGAGAATGAGTCTCCGCGAGTTTTGGAATGTTCAGGAACGAGGATACCCGAAACGGTGTAGACAGCAGCGACGCAATGAGAGCCTACAGTTCTGGAACCATTCCCAAACCTCGCTGTCGAATTGGTCACAGTGAATCACGTGATGCAGTAGGAACGCATGCGCATTTACACGCAAAATATTAGAATTATTAACGAGACTCCCCGGGTCACGAAAAGAAGGTAAAACATCCTTGAAAGCCTGAATCATTACATCTATAATCACACTGGGCTGACGCCAGCCTCCATAACATATCACGTGTTGGGAATGGTACGAATGACTCAGACACTGCGAGAGACTACTTTCTCGAAACAATCCAATCTAACACGGCCTAAATGGACCTCCCTAATAAGTATATTTCTTCGATAAATTGCTTGATAGAACAAGGGAGAATAATTTTTCGAATCAATCAAACCTGGAACGCAATCTAAGTGAACCTTCTCCCTAAAAAGAATATTTTTCGGAAAATATCCTATTTTCCAATTTGCATAAGAAAAGAAAATACTTTTTTCAATTCATGTAACCTAACACAGCCTAATGAACTTTCCTACTATAAAGTATATTTTGATGGACATTTCTTGAAAGAAAATTTAAAAAAAAAATTAACCTTTGCATCGATTGAACCCGAGCTGCTGGCGTGGCAATCAGACTCCAAATAAATTTATTCATTATTTTTCATGATACATCCCAGATAGCACACACTCGCCTAAGGTCATCCTCAATGTGTCGCCAAACGCCTGGAGAGGACGTTCTATTTTCTACAACCTAAGAACATCATCAGGCGTAAATTTAGCGCTGTAATTGTCCTAAATGAGTTCTTTCAGTGACAGCCTGAGGATGTAAAGAATTTCGTGCCTAAGGACGTCTTCAGATGACATTCCATGAAATAACGTGTCATCGAAGACATAAGGAAGAAAAAGAAGAACTAGAATTGAGGTTATGTCTCATGATAGTCATGATTTGTTCAAGGTACATCATAATATATTGATGATTATATCAAAATTATTAGAGTATTCATTGAATACCTTCATCAAATTTCTATTTCACAAAATGATTGCGAGAAGAACTTATTGCACAGAATTAAAAGATAACAATAACAAAAGGATGATAATCTCTGTTGATGACATTTCTCTCAGGTAGCAAGAAACAATGGTGAGTAAATACTAAATAGAATCATTGATAGTACCGACATGAAATATTGATACATTCATATACATTATTTATTGTTTCAGGAGGTTATTGAGAACACAAACTTGATGATATCATCATAGCATGTTTTATTCCAAGATAGCTTTGCTTCTTCGGAATCTATAAAATATTGTATGGAAGCTTGAACTTTCAGTATGAATTCAATAAAGGTAGGTACCTGAATCAAATCATTGATATAGTAGGTACTAGACATGAAATGTTAATAGGTTAATTATTTGTTTCAGATGAAGTTATTGAGAACACAAGATTGATGATGTCATCAGAGCAGAGATGTTTCATTCCAAGATATTTTGGCTTCTTCGAAATCTATGTGAGATTGCGTATGCATTATGTTTGCACTTTCAGTATATTCAATAAAGGTAGGTACCTAAATCAAATCTTTGATATAGTAGGGACTGGAACATGAAATATTAATAGGTACATTATTTGTTTCAGGAGGTTATTGATAACACAAAATGATATCATCAGAGCAGAGATATTTTATTCCAAGATATTTTGGCTTCTTTGGAAATTATGAAAGATTGTACATATGCAGACTTGAACTTTCAGTAGATTCAATCATGGTTGGTACCTACCTATAACTACATAAATCATATCATTGATAGTAAGTACTGGACATGAAATATCAATACATTGTTTGTTTCAGAAGGTTATGCAAAACACAAACCTGATGATATTTCCATTCCAAGATAGTTCTGCTTCTTCAGAATCTATAAAATATTGCATGAAGGCTTCAACTTCCAGTTGATTATTCTGCATCAGGAATTTCCAGAGTTCAGAAATCAAAAACAACATGGAGAAATATAACTATCAATAGGCAATAACTTCTAGTAGTGCTCAACAAGAAGCTGAAATACATTTCTTTGAAAAGGAAATTGAAATTTTTCAGAATAAGTTATAAATAATAGAATGTAAGTTTTTCATTTGGTTTTTCATTTGAACCAATTATAAATAGAGGGAAATTTTGCAAATATCATGAGATCCATATTATTTTGAAGAAATTATCATATGTATAATACAAGGTGAGTCAATAGTGTGTTATCCTTGTATATTAGCCAAACCATCAGATAAATAGAGAAAATTCAAGTACAACAGTAATAGGGTTTCATGAGAACTTTCACATCAAATTGTTTTCATAAATATCTGTAGGGTGTTCGAATTCCAAGATATATTGACTGATGATTGTTTTTTTCCAAATGGGACACCCTGTATACTATTGCATTTTTAGGTTCTCCCTGAAGAGCTGATTCCATCAATGTATCACATTTGGGGTCTAGCGGGAATGATTACAGAGATATAGGGTGTTCAAAAACAAGATTTTTCTTTTTTAGGATTTTTTTTTGTGGAAACTATTTCAATATTGGTCAAAACGGCTCACATATCCTTATAAACTTTCGATTTACTATCTACTGACATTCAATCGGAACAAATAGTTAGTCAAAAGTTATGACAGGAACATGTGAGCCGTTTTGACCATTAATGAATAGTTTCGACACAAAAAATCCTACATTTGAAGAATCTCAATTGTCAACACCCTATATCTCTGTAATAATTCCCACTAGACACCAAGTGTGATGCATTGATGGAATCAACTCTTCAGGGAAAACCGAAAAATGCAATAATATACAAGGTGTTCCATTGAAAAAAACCAATCATCTACCGATATCTTGGAATTCGAACACCCTATAGATATGAAAACAACTTTAGGTGATTGTTCTTATGAAACCCTATTACTTTTGTTCTTGAATTTTCATTTTATATATATTCTGACGGTTTGGCTAATATCGGAGGAGAACACACTATAGTGACTCATTCTGTATACGAATAATATTCTCCCATAAATCTTGAACCTCCTTGAAACATCATCAAAAACCGCCACAAGTTGTTACCATGATGTCCTGAGGTTGTCTCAAAAGATTTTATAGGGATGTTCTGAGACGTTATTAGTATGTAGAGAATGGTAACAGGAGGACGTCTTGAGAATGTCCTCAGGTTCGCTCTCGACGTCCTGAGGACATGATTGTGAACGCCTCAGAAGGGCCTCAAAAGGAATTTGTGCTATCTGGGATAATATAGACATTTTTTTAAACAAATCAAACAACAGTGCTGAAGCCATGCTTCGCATAACGAGTAATCTCAAGTTGAACACAGTTGTGTTGGGGGTGAATTCGAGCATTGGCATTGTTGGGAAATTTCATAGAGAAAGAGGTGAAAATGAAGAGCAAACAATATTCCTCTTAGAATTTCTGTCGCATCGGACTTAGCGCTCCCACTGCTTATACAGTGTGTCCCACTTACCTTGCTCACCATGGGTATCTTTTTAACGGTGAGAGATACGAGGTCGGTTAAATGACACCAAATGTGAAGTTTGTCAAGGCCAACTATAATGTGAAACAATATTTTGATAAAATCTATTCGTTTTTGTTTTATACGCGAAAAACAGATTTTCATGTCTCCTCCGTAACTTCTTTATTTATGAAAATATTCAAATAGGAATTTCACATTCTCATGGCAGTTTTTCAAAGTGATTCCGAAAAAAATATGAAATTTATACCAACTCTTCTAGAAATTGAGATATCCGCACCAACTTTAGTTTTTCAAATGTAGGTTATAGCTCACTATGACTTAGTTACAAATAACTTTTCTTTCTCTTACAGATGATATGGCGCTGTAATAGTTTTGTGTTGATAACGACGGAGTTATCGTCATTTATACAAAAACAAAAGATTATTTGGAAGCCGCCATCTTGAATTTATGAATTTAAACAGAAAAATCATGATCTCCGACCTAAAAAACCCCCACTTACCAATTTTGAATGGAATCGGACCAAATCTTGTCCGCTATCTTGGAGCAGCCATTTTTTTCAATTTCAATAAAAATTACATAATGGATTGTCACCGAAATTATGAACACCTGCCAAATTTCAAGTTGATCGGAGTTATGGAATTTTTGTTGAAATTAAAAAATATGGCTGCTCCAAGATGGCGGACAAGATTTGGTCCGATTCCATTGAAAATTGGTAAGTGGGGGTTTTTGAGGTCGGAGATCATGATTTTTTTTGTTAAAATTTATGAATTCAAGATGGCGGCTCCCAAATAATTTTTGTTTTTGTATAAATGACGATAACTCCGTTGTTATCAACACAAAACTTTCACTGCGACATTTCATCTGTAAGAGAAAAAAAAGTTATTTGTAACTAAGTCATAGTGAGCTATGACCTACATTTTAAAAACTAAAGTTGGTGCTGATATCTCAAATTCTAGAAGAGTTGGTATAAATTTCATATTTTTTTCGAAATCACTCTAAAAAACTGCCATGAGAATGTGGAATTCCTATTTGAATATTTTCATAAATAAAGAAGTTACGGCGGAGACATGAAAATGATCAAAATCTGTTTTTTGCGTATAAAACAAAAACGAATAGATTTTATCAAAATATTTTTCCACATTATAGTTGGCCTTGACAAACTCCACATTTGGTGTCATTTAACCGACCTCGTATCTCTCACCGTTAAAAAGATACCCATGGTGAGCATGATAAGTGGGACACACTGTATACGCAAGTCACGCCCAGAATCGGCAATCACAGAACTACAGCACGCTGTACCGTTCGTTTACTTGAAAATCACCAGTGACGTCATGTACGGGTATTCTCATTCCTAAACATTCCAAAACTCTTGTTTCTGCTTGTCGTTGGCGATGAATTTATTTTTGGCTACTAGATACATCGGGAGTTGGCGTAAATGAATGTGAATTATTGAGCACCTCCAGCATTTTGACTGTAGCTTTTCCTTCAGAATGGGTTTAATTTGTAATCACCAACTTATTCCAACATATTTCTCTTCTGAAATTGATAATCTACAGAGTGTGCCAAATTGGACAATTGTATAGGGAAGTCCTATTCCCGTACTAGATAGAAAAAAAACTGATGTTGGTGCCTGTTGATCAATTCGTTTCAGAGTTACGTGGTGATTTTCGAAGATATGAATTTCCGAAAAGTGGATGAAACCCACTTGTTTGTCAAAAAATCTTCGTTTCCATTATTGAAACATTGCATTTGTCATGAAAATTGATCCTTAGGCACTGCAGTCAGTCACTGTATGCCTAGTTTCAAAATAGAACTTTTTCTTTAAGAAGAATAAGTTATATTCTTGAACAATAAGATATAGGAAGGCCGATTTTAGTGCCCCAGGAATGATTGTTATCACAAACCCAATGCTCAGTTATTTTCCTTAAAACATACAATTTTTGCCAAAAAAACATTGTAGCCACTTTTCCAAAATGCCAATTTTCGAAAAACACCTTTTAAATCCGAAACGAAGACTGATATGCGGTTTTCACCCTTGGAATTTGCATGAGAATCGACCCTCAGTTACCTACATTAGTTTTTTTCTATCCAGTCGAAGAATATGACTTTCTTTTCAAAAGTGATCCATTCGGCCCACCCTGTACGTATTTTGCTTTCTATAAATGTTGATCGATAACTCATTATCAGAAATTCGTCTTCTTATCATAACTTCGATACCATTCTAGATATTTTCCTGACATTTTATATGCACCCACTAAGCACTATAATAAGCTTTTCTTGATTCATGAAAATTTTCAATATTCTCACTTGTTGCGCTCGAATGGGATGTATACCTACTGGAGATTTGAAAAAAAAATATGATATCGTCATTTATTCTGCCCTAATTTGACTCCTTGAATTTCTTTTTCTAGACGCACTTTTTTCGCGTAAACTAATTAAGACCATTTTGGCTTATTCAATCGATTGACTTTAATTGAAGAAAAATTAGACAAAAAACACATCTCACTCACAGAGTACCACCTATTGCTCAGTAGGTACGAGTCAAATTCTATGAAAATATCTAGAACACTGTATTGAACTAAACTTATGATAAGAAAACGATTTTTCCTTGAAATTTCAACATCCTATATCTCGAAGAAGAGGTTTAGGGCATATTATTATGTTGTCTTCTCAAAATGAGCTATGTGACCATATCATATATTTTTACCCATCAATTGAACTAACATATCATCCTGAATGTTGTGTTGATACTTTTTTTCATGAACGTATGTAAAATAATCAGGATCAATACGAGTCAAAATTGTTGAAAGTCAAAATTCCAAAAGTCTCGGTAGGTATGCATGATATTGAGTCCACAATTTAAAACCTTTTGCTTACTGTTCAAGCTTTCTGTGCAAGCAAATTGTATATATTATTGATATCATGCTCATCCTGTATATTTTCCATTGTTATATTTATATTGCTGGAAGACATTTCTTGCTGATCTAAAACCATACAGTGTGATACAATTTGGTCAACCTCAGCACTGGTAATTTCGAATCCTTCGGGCGATGTGAACATGTTTTTTTGTTTATAATGTACTACACAAAATTATCTATTATGTCGTACAAAGTCAAACAAAATTTCTTGGCCTACTGCGATCACAGAATCTCCAGCAAAGAATCAGAATTAGGAATTTTTCAAAAAAAATTTTGATCACGAATATTTGGCTTTCTCCTAGTTGAAAGATTTTGATGTTGGGTCAACGGAATGTGGACATATCGAAATATGGGAACAACATGATGCGGGAGTAACGAAATGTGGATGTAACGACTCGCTCCCGATTTTATTCGCTGTTTATCTCACTCTGTAGCCAGATGATCTGATCCTGAATACCACCATGTCTGGTATTATTCAATTTCTCAGAAAAATTATCATACATGGTGATTTGAAGTATGCAATTATATAAAAATTGTAACATTGATAAAGAAGTCCCCTCATGAGATATTGTTCTGAAAATTGTTATAGGGTTATTTGTGGCCAGTCTGAATCGATCGTCATTATGAAAATTTAAAAAAAAGTGCCTCATCCGTTTTCTTCAATTTTGCTGGAATTTTTGTGATCATAGTAGGCTGAGAAATTGTGATTGATAATTTTTTTTGCGTGACATAGTAGATGATTTTGAGTAGTATATTATAAGAGAAAAAAATCTCAAATCGTCCTAGGAATACTTGGATGGGGTGGACCAAATTGTAACAAACTGTATAATTGATTTGCATGCACGTCTTGGCTGTTTTGAAGGTACAAAGTACAAACAAAGTTGGAGAAAAAAGAAACAGCATGAATTTATATTTTGTTTGCTATTTTGGTGTTCGTTGGATACTTAGATTTTACTGCTTTAATTTTGTTTTTTAATTTTTTATTTTAAGATATAAAGGGAATGATTTTGCAGTCGTCAGTGGCGATAGGGTAAGGAGAAGTGCTTCTTTGACGAGCGTTCTGAAGCGTCTTTCTATTGTTTTGCCGAATTCATGCCAAAGCAAATGCCAGACCCCTTTGTCGCCACCCTATTCTCGAGGTATTTTCATTTATTTTTTGGTTTGCGTTTCGTTTGGATTTTGTTTTGTTGAGGTTTTGGTTTGTGTTTCATTTCTGCTCTTGAACCTCTCTCATTATGTATTTTATATAATACCAAATTGACTAATTTTCTGCTTTTTCTAACTCATATAACATCGAAGTAAGTATGGCGCATTTTCAGTAGCTTCTTCGACTGAAAAAAGGTCGCGAAGTTGCTTAGAAGAGGGCTGATTCACAATTATTACAATGGGGTTTCATCATCAAATAACTGCACATCCATCAATAAGCATAAGAAACTAATACAATTCTCATAATGTTGCTTGATAAGGGTTAACAATTTCTGTCTCAGCAGGTGGCATTACTATACACCTTTTCCAATTTTAGTTCAGAAAGTTGATTTGAAACAGAATCGATTGTATTTCGAATCAGTCATTTTGATTTCGAAAAGTATCAAATGTATTCGATAATTATTATCGATTCCATTTCAAAACGCGTCAATTGTATTTCAAATTAGTCAATTGTATTCCAAATTAGTCATTTTGATTTTAAAAAGTATCAAATGTTTTTCAAAATTGAAGAGTGGAAGTAATAAAGGTGCTAAGTGCCAAATATATAGTTTCGAGATATTTAAGAAAAGTAATGAAAACGTCAATATTTGATTTTTTCGTTTATCAGCATCAAAAATCGTATGAAAGGTCAATGGAAGACCAATTCCAACTAACACCGATATCTGTTATAAAACACAAATTTTATTTTAACAAAATAGGATCAAGAATTATTGCTGGTATAATTTGGAGTTTTCCAAATTTGAAAATGAGGATATAGGCAATAGTCAAACTGACATTGATCTCAATAATAACAAAAATGACAAAAGAACGAGGTGTCTAATAATTCGATAATACAGCAATACACCAGATCTGGTACTTGCCCCCTTTGATGGTTGTATATGTACCAGTGAAAAGTGAATGCAGCAAAAGGTGAAGAATCAAAACAATCTCCATGTTTCGAACTTTATCGCTCCGTTACAGTTTCACATACAATAAGGAACTATAGCTATAAGTCGTATTAAAATGTTGTTACATGCATTCTTTTCACGTTTATACCTGTTGTTCTGCGGAAAATGTATCGCTTTAAATTGAAATGGGTATTTTATACCCTATTTCTATTTTCCATCTACAGCTATGATTGATTTGACAGAAAATCTAACCTCTCAAGTCGCATTCGACAATCAGGCGCTACTAGGGAAATTGTGGAGAAATAGAGCAGAATAACCGTTTTATTCTTTTATCCACGACTGTAGTATAAAATATTCATAATATATGTACTTCCTCAAGCAAAACGGTAGCCATTTTTAACACCAGTAAATGATAGCAGGGAATAACCATAATTCACTGGTCTAGAGTTCCTTTAGTACGCGATATAACATATAAGGAACTCTATACCAGTGACTTATGGTTATTCACAGCTATTATTCACTGGTGTGACAAATGGCTATCGTTTTGCTTGAGGACTTCAAGTTTTAGTTTTCTCAATGTCAGATGAATTAAGATAAAACAGTTGTTGAAAATGAATTTATATATCAAAGACAACAGTAGTCGTGGACAAAGTATAGTATTCTACTCGCATATAATAAGCTATTATTCACTCAGATCAATTATGCCACTCGCTACGTTCATGACAAACTCAACCTTCGTGAATTATAGCCGTCATTATATGCTTGTTGAATATACGTTACATCGATTGAAAATTGCCTCCTCCCATGTTCGTAAAAATGTCCCACAATGAAATGAGATTAATTATTACACTAGGTAGGCACCGTCTGCAATGATTGATGTTCTGCAGTTCAAAATGGAATATCTGTCATTAATCGTTTGAAACAAAAATGCAATCCATACTTCTTATTTGTGAACTTCTTGAACACATGGGTGAAAGCAATTTGTCATTTGAGTAACGTAAAAAAGTCACAAAATGTTCATGTTTTTGTTGTTATCAAGAACAAAACACCAAGTATGTGCTATATCGTTGTATTCCAAATAGATTGACACGCAATTTTCAGAGACAATATGCTACTAGATCAGTATCTACCATCCGGGGGCTGCCAAATATATCACATTCTTCATAAAAGCCATAAGGAAGGTTATTTAATGCCATTTAATGCAGTTTTTTAATGCTTTTGATAACTTGACAAATAGGCGAGATATTGCCTGTAAACGATAACTTGGGACACCCAGTATTTTAATTATAAAGGCTATTGAAAAAACAACTCAATATTTTTGTAGGAATATTCATTAATTATGCAGGTTATGTTTGTGATTACTTTAGGAGCTCGCAATGGGAAATTCTCGATCTTGTTACGTCCAGGATATCCTTGGGTGCTCGCAGAAAGAAATGCCTATTCATTTCCTGTTATAGATAACCTCAAGGATTCGCAATAATGAGGAATATATCAAATCTGAGGCGAGATCTCCGCGATTTCTTTCGGACGACTCCAGAGAGTATTTCCCATGGTGACAGCCTATAGTGATCTTTGATACCTCGCAGAAGGATTTCGCATTTTGATCCTGAAGATAACTACTTAGAGATATCGCGGAGAGTACCGTGTTACCTGGGATAATATACTATATTATTCACTCAATCCATTGTGGTATAGAAAATAGAAAAGGACAGAAGTTCAGCTGGGCCCGAACTCTTATCTTACTAATACCATTCAGTAACTCTAGGCTTGCTTACTTATAGGGCTTGTTATTTTACTTTCAATGTCAAACTTCTACATTCACGAAGGAGATATACAAGGTGTCCCATTGGAAAACGGAAAAACTTCATCAAGGTGGTTCTGAATATACCATAATAATTTCATATTCCAGATTCAGGGTGTTTCATTAATTTCGCTCAATTCTTCGTGAGGACATAACTTACGAACCACCCAGTATATCCTCTTGGAATTTGGTACACAATTCCATATTTTTCTACCCACTCTCTACTAAGGTCACGAGATAAATCCAGGTCCAGATCAACGAGAATTGCTAGGAGGAGAAGGAATTGTGGACCAAATTCCGAAACAATATACTGGATGGTTCGTAAGTTATGTCGTCGCAAAGAATTGAATAAAATTGATAAGACACTGTATCTCTAGCTCTACCCACCATTGAAATTTTCTCGTTTCTCAATGGGACTCCCTGTTAATAGTTAATAAAAACCTTGACCTCACGATCGAAACATGTTGGCCCTCATTGTCTCAACGACATGAAGATCATTCTTGGTAGCATCAATATCTCTTTGTCCGATTACCTAGAAATTGAGTACCTACAGAGTGACCCATTTGATAGCGGGACACCCCTGTATCTCACGTAATCGTTGGGTAAGGATCATGAAATTTGCTGGAGCGAGAGATATACACTGCTCGCCAACAGCCATGGAACCACCCCAATTTCCTGAAAATGATATTAGGAGTCAAAATAGGTTGAAAATCACTTCGGATTCGGAATCAGGACGCCCAATTCACTAACTATTCATATTTTTCCTTGAAAATTTTCAGTTCTGAAACATTACATTTTGTCGCACTTTTCATGGAAGCGCACCCCCGTATCTCACGTAATTATAGTGGTAGGGTTCTAAAATTTGCAGGAGGAACGGAAAGTCCAAAGATGAAGTCAATTACGTGAGATACGGGGGTGCTTCCGTGAAAAGTGCGACAAAATGTAATGTTTCAGAACTGAAAATTTTCAAGGAAAAATATGAAGAGTTAGTGAATTGGGCGTCCTGATTCCGAATCCGAAGTGATTTTCAACATATTTTGACTCCTAATATCATTTTCCGGAAATTGGGGTGGTTCCATGGCTGTTGGCGAGCAGTGTATATCACTGAGGATGACCCCACTTGGTCATAGAGTGCATTTTTGGTATATCTCTCGCTCCAGCAAATTTCATGATCCTTACCCAACGATAACGTGAGATACAGGGGTGTCCCGCTTTCAAATGGGTCACTCTGTATGTTCATCATTAGAAAATTCCTTCCTGTTTCTTGTTCGTGAATTGCATGACTGTGATATGAAATATTCATATTTGGAGTACTATACAGGTTGTCCCGAATTTACATAAAACATTTTCTATCATAGATTCTAATGAAGAAAATGATAAAAAAACGTTTCTTCTGTGACAGGAAAAAAGTTTGAAATTTCATCTCTGTTGACAGGTTATAAAATGTAATTTTTCGAAAAAAAAATTGTTCCGGATATATATCACATATATATATACACTGTTGATGGCTCTTGTTGTGCTATAGTTCCGAAAAATAAGTCAATAACACCGTCTCCGAGAAAAAACTGCAAGTCCTCTCATCTTCCATTCGACTTCGCGATTCCGTAAATTACTAAACAACCACTACATGCATTCACATTTTTTTTGAATCCAATCACAGAATTAGACTGACAGATATTTGATTACTTCAGAAGAATGATAAAAATGCCTGCAAAAAGATTTCTGCAACGCATGTGTCATTCCTGTTGAAAATTTCTAATACTTTGACGTCGATAATTTCCTGATTTCAATATAATGTAATATCTTCTCAATATTGATTCGTCCTTCTTGCTGTCACAGAAAGAAATAGTGTATTATACTTATACGAGAAAAAATATTAGATTTTAGCTCACGGTTTTTTGTCAACACACCTGGAGCTAATATCTATCATCTACTTCTTTTTTCCCTTGTATAATGAATAACTATTGAATAAACATGGGTCCAAGAATGTCCCCCTAGGGAGCTATAGTCATCGGGAGAAGAGCCCAAAATGATGTTTGTTTATAAATATTTTTGAAACCGCCCGTGATAAAATAACCAGATTTTTTACATTTACCTTTCTTTCAAAGCCTAATTTGTAAATATTAAGAATCTGTCGAAATTTTGATCAGAAGCGTAGGAAGCCTGCTGGGTAATAAAAATGGTACCTTTTCTTAATAGGGTACCTACCATATTTTTTCATTTTTTTTATTGAACCCTCCGTATATTGAATCAAACAACCAAAAGGAGATGTTAAAAGAACTGTCGAACCATAATAGCGTTCTGACATACGGCTCAGTGATTTGGAACCCTTTTTATAATATTTACGCTTTAAAACTTGAGAGTATTCAAAATAAATTCATTGATTTCTTAAACAGGAAATGCTTTCCGCCCGACAGCGAAAGGTGCCCCATTCAGAAAAACGTAAACCTCATTTCACTTGAACACCGGAGGAAAATTACAGACGTGAAATTTCTTTACAAAGTTGTAAATCACAAAATAGACCCGAACGAAATTGTAAGTCAGATTCGATATGCTGTACCTAACTCCAACACTCGCCAAACTCTTTTATTTTTCACTGAGCAAGCAAATACAAAATATTTTCTAAATTCCCCTCTACACAGGATTATAAAGATCTACAATATTTTATCAAATTCCACTAGCATCGACATATCTGCAAATAGCTTCTACAAATTTCAAAACATATTGAGAACACCTTTTTCACAATTAGAGCACCACTGAATATCTGTCAAGTTGTACCCCCCCATAATTGTTTTTTATTTGTCTTCTCATTCTCATATCATCTTAATATGATTTATACCTCATTGTAACTATATAACCACTCAGAGGATGCATTTTTTTGGGCAAATCCTGTTTGCATCCCATAATAAATGAATAAATGAAAAATATTTTGAGATGTTATTTCTTGGTCAAACTGCCGAAAAGTGCATTAACAAACAAGTTGGAAGAGAAAGTTCTCCTAGCCCCATCTATTTCCGACGCCCCTGATCAAAATCTCCGAAAATTCTTAATATTTCCAAATTAGACATGAAATGTTAGGTTTGTACCTACATGTACAAGATCTGCTTATTTCATCAGCGGGTTTAGAAAACATTTACATACCATTTCACCATCTCGGACTCTCCTTTAGATGGCTTTAACCCCTCAGGGAGCCATTTCTGGAACCATGTTCAAAGGAACTTTTTTCAAATCTGTAGTTGAAATATTCCTATGTAATTTTGGGACACCCTGTATGTCTGATCAAGATAATATCTGTCGTTTAACTTGTTCACAATGTTCACATATCAAGCTACCAACTTTATCACGGACCCTCTCTGTACATAATAATTATGTTGTTGAATCGCATTTTCTTCCATGCTGGTGATTTAATCGGAATCCGTTTTCAGCGCGGAGTACCTCTGAGGAGTTCAGCAGCGGAGACACAGGTCGGTACAGGGATTCGGAGGAGTATGCCCAATCGCATCCACCCAGCAGAGACAGTCGGCAAGACAAGCAGAACAAAAATCAGGAGGAAAGGGACGAAGGTACGACAACACTAAACTTGTTCGATACAAACACTTTTATTTTTGTGGAACATTCAAAATTTTCTACACTTCCATAACGTCAACACTGAACTTGGTAGACGCAAACACATTCATTTTATATGTGGAACATCCGGAATATTCTACACTTCCCTAACGTCAACAATGAACTTGGTAGACACAAACATTCCTTTTTTATATGGAACATTCGGAATATCCTACACTTTCTTAACGCAATACTAAACTTGGTCTACACAAACACATTCCTTTTCCATGTGGAACATCCAGAATATTCTACACTTTCCTAACGACAACACTCTGAACCTGGTCGACATAAATACATTCCTTTTCTATATGGCAGATATATTCATGAATGACCTAGAGGTGAATCACATAATCATTGACAATAATTCTGAGATTTTAAATTGGTATAGATATGTTGATGATTGCTTGGTTTTCATCAATGGAAATTCAGACACTGCCAACAACCTTTTACAAAAAATAAACTCAATTCATTCTAACATGAAATTTACTCTTGAACTTGAAATAGACAATAAACTGAATTTCTTAGACTTGACGATCAAAAAATCAGACAGACTGGAATTCAGCATATACCGAAAGCCAACACAAACTGACCATGTCATTCCTTCTTTCTCTAATCACCCCCATCAGCACAAAATGGCAGCTTACTATTGCTACATCCACAGGCTTCTCAATATTCCATTATCATCAACTGAATACAACAGAGAACTGAATACTATCAAACAAATAGCATGTAATAATGGTTACAACCCAAATTTGATCCCAAAGCTAATTCAAAAAATCAAACATAAGAGAGAACATAATCTAACTTATCCTAGAGAACAAGTTTACAGATATATATCCCTACCTTTCACAAATGAAAACATCTCTCAAAAAGTTTCAAGTTTCATCAAAAACAAGTTAACAAACACCAAAATATCTTTCAAAAGCACTAATAATTTGAGCAAACATTTGGTTAATTCTAAAGATAAAATCAATAAATTATCTAAAAGTGGTATTTACAAATTAAATTGCAATGATTGTGAAGCTTCATACATAGGTAGAACTTGTAGACTAATGTAGACCTTTGAAAGTTCGTATAGGAGAACATTTGAATAAAACAGAATTTTCAGCTTTCGGCCATCACATCAAATTCAGTAAACATAATTTCAGTCCAAATCGTAATTCAAAAATTCTGAAAGAGGTTAATTCAAAAAATTACAATAGACTAGATTTCTTGGAGGATTTAGAAATCGAAAAAGAACTACGAAACAATGACCTTTGTTTGAACACACAAGTACAATTAAATAGATGTTACATTCCTTTACATAGACGTTTGAAATAATAAGCAATTCTCCATGATGATATCCATTATAACTCATACAAGACACTGTTCCGGATTTCGGCTTCAACAAGTCTGAATCTGGCTTACTTTTCGGACTTGAGTCCGGTCTACGCTTGAGGTCGGGAGGCTCAACTGATGTTGTCATTCTCTTGTGGATTCACAACTTGGGTTGGGCATCCTTAGATCTTCGGCTCGAACACTAGGACTTTTGAGTCCGAAATGGAAGACCTGCTCTTTAATTTTCACCCAACACAATAAAATTGCATTCAGGATCCGGCTTACTTTTGAGACTTGAGTTCGGCCTTCGTTCTGGGTCTGGAGGTATTCTGGTGGTATGTTTGCTTCTGATGAGGCATTCGTCTACAGGAATTCTCCTTGGACTTCCAGTTTGGACACTAGGACTCTCAAGTCTTGATTGGAAACTCTTTTCTCTCAATTTTAATAAAAAAAAAGGTTTACTCTTTGGCCTGGATTGAAGTCCACTTCATCTTATTTTACTTTTCAGAATGTTTCAAAATTTTCAGACAACTTTTCTGCTCACCTTGTCAATTCTTTCCCAAACGCTTTTTTCATTATGTCACTTGTCTACTTCATACACATGTAAACTAAGTCATAGACATTGACACTCAGTCATTGTCAACATTTTACTAAGGTTAAAAATTATCAAACATTCTCCAGAATAAATAAGGTTAAGGTCCCACGTGCTATTTCTGGACTTGAACAAAACAATCTCAATATGTATTTTTGAAAAATTTTACAATAACCCATTAGGGAACATATTTGTTAAATGTATGTCTGTTCATAATCCCGTTTGTACCATAATGATGTCTGTGATCACTAATTTTTGGACCTTTTTGTAATTACTTGACGAGTAAGCAATCTACCTTTTTAGATTTGTTTTTGAAATTTCATAAATGTTACTTACTTGCAGGTATAGCACTGATGATGGCTTTTTAGCCGAAAGCGCTTTGCGATTTATAATTAAAAAAATTTTACACGAAATACAAAATCTCTTCATTCTATTTTTCTATATGAAACATCCAGAATATCCCATATTCTCTTAACGCAATACTAAACTCAGTCGACACAAACACATCCTTTTTTTATGTGGAACATCCAGAATATCCTTCTCTTCCCTAACGTCAACACTGAACTTGGTCGACTCAAACAACTTCTCTTTTTTTATGTGGAACATAAAATTTTCTACACTGTCCTAACGTCAACACTAAACTTGGTCGACATGAACACATTTCTTTTTCATGTGGAACATTCGCAATATATCACTTTCCTTACGTTTACACTGAACTTGGTCGACACAAACTCATTCATTTTTTATGTGGAACGTCCGCAATATTCTACCCTTTCCTAACGTCAACACTAAACTTGGTCGAGACAAACACATTCCCTTTTTTATGTGTAACATCCGAAATATTCTACAGTCAGCTAACGTCAACACTGAACTTGGTCGACACAAATACATTCCGTTTTTGAGTGGATCATTCGAAATAGTCTACATTTTTCTAACTTAACACTAAACTTGGTCGACACAAACACATTCCTTTTTTATGTGGAATATCCGAAATATTCTAAACTTTCCTAACGTCAACACTAAACTTGGTCGACATAAACAGATAATTTTTTCATGTGGAACATCCGAAATATTCTACACTTCCCTAACGTCAACACTGAACTTGGTCGACATAAACAGATACTTTTTCTATGTAGAACATCCGAAAGTTTCTACACTTCCCTTACATAAACACCAAACTTGGACGACATAAACACATTCCTTTTCACTGTGGAACATCCGGAATATTCTACACTTCCCCAAAAAACTAACGCACCACCAAAAATTATCAGAGTTAGAGAGGCATTTTCATCGAAAATACTTGTCCGATTTGAATGATTTTTGTTTTGAATGATAGGTTATCTTCGTCTGAATATTGTATTCGCATAAGAACCTCTTTTATATAAATACCGGGTGTAGCCATTATAGCGTCTTGCTTTTCATGAATTGTGTAATACCCCCTGGAGTGTAAGAGTTACGTTGACAAGTTAAAATTGAAAGCACACTTCAGCCTTATTATCTTTCTTCAATATTTCTTATTTCGATTTACCCCATTATCTTTCCAGAAACATAATTTCCGAGATAAGTTCATAGCATAACATGATTTATTTGAAATCAAGTATACAGTACTGTATACTTGATTTCACACGTTTCACACTTCATAAAGTCGGCATCATATGTGAAAAACTTTTATTAATGACTTATTTTGGAATTCGAGTTGGACGTTGTGTTTTGTTTCAAAAAAGATGAAAAATGGCCTACTCCATCGGGGTCACGTGACTTTCGATACATAGCAAAAGTGACATTTTTTCAAATTAATCGCTGAAAGTAGGCTTATTTGTTCGAATATCGAAAAAGTTTACTTGAAAAAGTTGTTTCTATTTCGATTTCACACATGCTTCTCGAATTCGATCTTTCTATTGCAACTTTAAGATTTAGATTTTTTTTTTCGAAATTTCTGCAATATTTGAAGAATTTTTAATTCCACGAAACTACTTCATACCAGTAACTTTCTCATGCTACTTACTTTCAATTACTTAGTATCACTGATTATGGACAGAAATATGATTTTCTCCAGAAAATGATAATACCCGCTTCCAAATTCTGTTATGTATGATGCAAAGTTGATATATCGTCAAGCATTTAGTAACAAAATTCATTCAAACTGATCTTTTCAGTGCTGGAAAAATAAATTTAAATGAATTTCTAAATGCTTAACTCAATAAACATGACAGAATTTTGATGTTATGTTTGGATCAAACATAACAGAACTTTGAAGCGGAGAATATCATATTTTAGTCGATAATCAGTGATAATCAGTAATTGAAAGTTATAAGCATGATGAAGCTACTGGTATGAAGTAGTTTTATCGAATTTACATTTTTTTTTAATATTACAGAAATTTCGAAAATTTTTAAAAAATATCGAAATCTAAAAAATGTAATAGAAAGATGAAATTCAAGTTACATATGTGAAATCTAAATGGAAACAACTTTTTCAAGTGAACTTTTTCGATATTTGAACAAATAAGCTTACTTTCAGCGATTAATTTGAAAAAATGTCACCTGACATGTAGCGAAAGTCACGTGACCCCCGATTGAGTAGGCCATTTTTCATCTTTTTTGAAGCAAAACACAACGTCCAACTCGAATTCCAAAAAATAAGTCATTAATAAAAGTTTTTCCCATATGATGCCGCCTTTATGAATGACACTGTATATGGTCTTGGAAGGCATTTCTTTGACTGATCGCATGGAACAAGTGATCATAAATGGAAATCCTACAGCTTACGATCAAATCGGACAAATAGTTTTCACGAAAATGTTGGCGACTGTTGGCGACTTTTTGTTGGTGCGTTAATTCCTTGGGGAAGTGTATTTCACAACTATCATGACTAGAATTGGCTCTAAAAGTCATCGTTATTGGAGGATATTCATGTATAAAGGCTGACTGGCAAAATACGCCCCAAGACATAGCTCCGCTCTATTAATTGTCTGATTTTGTGAAACGAAAAGCAAATGAAATGACTCATCAGATAATATGAGTAGGCTATAATCATTACATTTGCAAATCTCTCTTTCGAGGGATTTTGGTCATAGCAGTCCCTTCAATTCAATGAAGTCTGCTGAAGAATCTGACGATTTTGAGGAGGCATGTTTTGTGATATTTCCTCCAGTTTTAGTATGAATTGATAACAAAAGACTTCCTTCATCTTGTCTGCACCCAGCATTTCATTTCATTTCGTCATTTAAGTATAATCTTTTTTACCAATAATGGTTGGTAAATCTAGATTTTCAATCAATACCTACTTAAGAACTAACATAAGCGTTGTTTCTTCTTACATATTTTCTTTTTATAAATGTTGCTGATGATGAAGGTTTAATCCTTCGAAACATGTCCTTATGTCCATGACCATCGGTCATCATTGAATTATTTATGTGGTGGAGTTGTGACTGTAAGTTCTTTCACTTCTTCTGACTGATATATTACTTTCCTCTATTCTTACCAGAGGTGATAAAGATGTTCGGTGGCAACACTTCTTTACGCCGCCGCCTCTTCCGCACAATCGTCGTGTGGCGGCAGACCAGTCTGCAACAGGTGCTGACGCAAGCGCTGCGTGCCTTCCACGTGACCAAGGATCCACAAGGAATACCAATTATCTGTTAATGATTCCGCAGAATTTTCCCACCATTCGCGAGTCCATTTAGTATTGTTGGAGTATATTTTTAAATGGATTATGAATGATTCGCGGTTTCGACTGTTATTTGGTCTAAGACTGATGAATGGCTTCTTTTAATTTTTTCCAGAGGTGATAAAGGTTTACGATGGCAACACTTCTCTGCGCCGCCGCCTTTTCCGCACGATCGTCGTTTGGCGGCAGGCCAGTCTGCAACAGGTGCTGACGCAAGCGCTGCGTGCCTTCCACGTGGCCAAGGATCCACATGGAATACCAATTATCTGTTAATGATTCCAGAGAATTATTCCACCATTCGCGATTCCATTTAGTATTGTTGACGTATATTTTTAAATGGATCATGAATGATTCGCGGTTTCGATTGTTATTTGGTCTAAGACTGATGAATTACTTTTCTCAAATTTTTCCAGAGGTGATAAAGGTGTACGATGGCAACACTTCTCTGCGCCGCCGCCTCTTCCGCACGATCGTCGTATGGCGGCAGGCCAGTCTGCAACAAGTGCTGACGCAAGCGCTGCGTGCCTTCCACGTGACCAAGGATCCCGAGTCGTTCCATCTCACCGACTTGTACTCGCCCGAGGAGGCGGTGGTGCGCGATCCAGCGCCCGTGATGAGGTTGCACAGGAAAGAGGGGAAGCGGCCGGCTGTTTTCCTCAGACTCAAGTGAGCATCAGAACTGTTCATCGTACCTGTATATCACCTGACGAAGCTACTGTGTTAGCGAAACATGTCGTGTGTTCGAGAATTGTGTGGAAATCTTATCGTTTGTTTTTACATTTGCCATGGATTTGCCGAGTCAATTAGAAAAAAATCAGAACCGTTGTTAGTAGTTGTGGTATCAGAAGAACTGTTATATTATGATCACAATTTAATAAACACGAGCACAAATGACATGGACAAGGGTTACACTTGATCACAACCCGGCTTCCATCAGCCGAATACTATATGAACCAGTATTTACACACGTCTGTCATAGGCTCTGATCTAAGCACATTCCACTGAGCAGTGGCGCATCTAGTTGCTAGATGCTAACACGGCCATCCTGAGATTGGGACGCTCTCGGCCCAACAAGCTCGGTTTCATCCTGACTAAATTTTATGTCATTTAGAGCTCGTCAGAGAGCACAATTGCTAATCCACCTTGCCATTAGGCCTAGGTGTCAACCCACTTTTACCAGGTCAAGATGTCGACCCACCTTGTCACCAGGCCTAGGTATCAACTCACCTTGCCACTAGGCCTAAGTGTCAATCCACTTTTACCAGGTCGAGATGTCGACCCAGCTTGTCACCAGGCCTAGGTGTCAACTCACCTTGCCACTAGGCCTAAGTGTCAATCCACCTTGGATTACCTACATGGCTTGATAACTCTCTGCTATCTCAGAAATCTCTGTTATCGTTTCATTACCAGCAGACAAGATACGACAAGCCCACTCAGTGCACCCCTCTATCGTCAAACCCAAGACACGTCGAACAAACCTCCACCAAAACTCGTTTGTCCATAGAATGCCGAAGCTGATGTCGCTGATGATGAAATAACCCCTTAAAGTTCGGGAGAAGAAGAGGATGAAAATAAAAAGTGTAGATATATTATTCTCCAAGATTCCGTGAGGATGAAGCATCGGACTAACATTTTATAGTCGATTCATGAACCATATCATATGATAATTTTCAAATTGTGGAGCAATAGGTATATAGTATAGAACTCGAGGTAGACCTAGATCCAAACGAGAAATTGAGTGTCAGTAAATATATATATATAAATATCTATATGCACTGAAAAAAATATTGTGTAAACATCATGATATGTGGGACACCGGCACTCTTTCGACTCTCGTCGCTCAACAGACTTTAAGTAGTAGCAGCTCATGATTTTTTGATATTTGATTTCAAATTTGTGAGCGACGTATTCGACAGTTCAAAGGTTTGTGAGTCAAACGTGTATCCAAAAGAAAAGTTATATATGGCAGCTCAGAGGCTTGGTTCACAATCAGGTCTGCAAATACGAGGTCGAACGACACGACAACGTACTTGACTCCAGAGGATTGCTAGCCAAACATCTCTCCAATCAATTTTAGCCTCAACTTCACCTTGATAGTATACTCAATCAAAAATCACAACAATTCATTCCACAAATTCATATCAACCTAACCATGATAGATGAAATTCCTTCAGCCAAAAAGTCCAGGTTATCAAAAACCAGAAAGCTCAAACTGAAACGTTTTCCTTTTCAATTTTTGTTATTATTATCATTTGAGTTTATATGATTCCAGTCACGACCCTGCGGCCTTCGACGTCACGCAGAGTCGTGCTGGATAAAATCCAGTGACTACTCCTCACAGCCTGTGAGGTGAGTAATCACTGGGACCAATTACCGTGTGCCCTGAGTAGACGCAATGATCCAAGTGTGACGGCCTTCTGCATCATTATTATTATTACTGTTATTATTATTATTATTATTATTATTATTCTGAATTCCAACAGTTGAATTCTTATCGTTTGTACATCAAAATGCCTATCTGGAATTTTCCTGTTTACTGTCTTGATATACAATTATTTTTAAATTTTTCGATTGTGTATCAAACTTTCCTTAATGCTATAAATACAAACTACATACAATACCTCGGTATAACACTTTCTATATTTGCAGCAAACATGGCCAAACACCTTAACCTTCATATTTATTCAGTATGTTTTTTTTTTGGCATGATATAATATCAAGCGTCGATGCAGTCATCACATTTAACACCGATTGTCAATACCAGCCAAAAATCTTAGTTGATAGCGCATAAACATATTGTAACAACTCATCATCATACCACCCTGTATATTTTCCGCTCTGACTGTGGAACCCTTTTTTGCTTAACACACCTTGCCATACGGCCCAGGTGTAAACCCACCTTGCCATACGGCCCAGGTGTAAACCCACCTTGCCATACGGCCCAGGTGTAAACCCACCTTGCCATACGGCCCAGGTGTAAACCCACCTTGCCATACGGCCCAGGTGTAAACCCACCTTGCCATACGGCCCAGGTGTAAACCCACCTTGCCATACGGCCCAGGTGTAAACCCACCTTGCCATACGGCCCAGGTGTAAACCCACCTTGCCATACGGCCCAGGTGTAAACCCACCTTGCCATACGGCCCAGGTGTAAACCCACCTTGCCATACGGCCCAGGTGTAAACCCACTTCTTATATGGTATTCGCACAACGATAACGCCAACATTCTCCATAATAATATCAGAAGTATCAATAAAAATCATGATGAATTCAAAATATTTTTGATTTATTTGGCAACTGATCTGGACTGTATTATTCTTACTGAAACATGGGAGATCCCTGATCCAAAAATGTACGATATAAAAGGTTACAACATTATATATAATATGGGCAAATTGAATCAAAAGTTGTAGCTTACGTGAGATCTGACTTATTCTTTGAATTCGATATTGTTAAAATTTCAGATTCGTCCCATCTATCCGTGCAATTTTGATGAACCTTGGAAATCTTTGACAGTCTCATGTATATTGAAAATCACCAGAAATCTCTCATTTGTTGATGAATCATGCAAATCTCACGTAAATATTGCAAATTTTGAGGATCATTACAAATCTCCTCCAAACTTCTTCAAATCTCACAATATCCAATCTACTGTTCACCTTTTGTTGAAATGAAACACAACTCGGGCACGAATGAATCATGAACAACGAACATTACCTGCATTCTCGAATATCCAGAGATATTCATTCAAAAATCATGTTACATACATCATAACTATCATCACAAACTGAAATTGCAAATTCATCGAACGAAATTCCAAAATATATATCGTGTAATCGCCAGTACAATCGAAAACGGTAACAACAAACGTTCAGTACATTCCAATACCAATAAGCATCTGATATTTGATCGGAATGTCAACGTTATCAGAGTTTTCGAGACAAACAAGAAGCAAAAAAAAAATACTGGATTTCAGGATCGAACACGAAATTCTCTATTACTGGACCTTCGTACTGTTGGTACATTGGTATTGCTTATTTTAAAGAAGTCATGTACTTACAGTTCAATAAAACATCACATAACGGCATAACGCCGGGAATGCATCACGCATAAATACCTAAATACCTCAACCACAGCTATCTGTTTCGCAGTGAAAATCGCCGGAAAAATAATTGCATTTTGTCACTTCACCGGGGCATGAATTCAACCACTTCTGATGTTATATTATGATCACAATTTAATAAACACGAGCACAAATGACATGGACAAGGGTTACACTTGATCACAACCCGGCTTCCATCAGCCGAATACTATATGAACCAGTATTTACACACGTCTGTCATAGGCTCTGATCTAAGCACATTCCACTGAGCAGTGGCGCATCTAGTTGCTAGATGCTAACAAGAACTGTATCTACGTTTTGAGTTCAAATAGACGAGTGGACTGATTTTTTTTATTTCTCGAAGTTAACGTGGTCGGACTCTACCTTTCGATTCCATATTTTCCACAATTTTCCGGTAGATTTTCAAGGTCGTGACACAATGTAGAAGAATAAAGAATACGGAATAAAAAATAAGAAATGTGGGTCTATTAATGGTCAATTCTAACCTTGAACGCGTTTTGAACCAATCATACGGCTATTCCCTATTTCTATACATGCAGATTACAGATAGTACAGAGTTCTTCTGTGTTGATAATGTAAGCGGAGCCCCAGAAAATGAATTTTAATAGTGTTTTGCTACATGTTCGAATTTGAGCAATAATTCGATCTGGTAATGTGTATTGGGCAAGCAATTTTGAAATATTTTTGGCTGGCGTCGTACAGCGTTAGTGACTGATATACATGGGGAAAATTTGATAGATTCAGGCTCCGATTCAGGCTTTCGAGATCTCTTCTTAGCAGTGTATCTTTGACATTTTTTATAATTTTGTTGGCCAACTTTTTCGATGGGTTCTTAATCAAAGCTTTCCACGACTCATGTCCCTGATCCGCCAAAACCATATATTCCCTGACCTGGAGCAGCCAGTTGTACTTTGGATCGACATTATTCAAAGTTGAAAGTCGTTGTAGACATACTTTAGGTGATCTTGTATTCTCCATATTGCTTAGACTGGTCAACCATGAAATAGCTGCTTTTAAAATTATGATACTAATCTTATAAGAACCTGTTTCTAAACGATCAATAAAATCAGGAGTGTTCTTTGACAATGCTAATAAGCGTTTGAAAAAGCCCATCTGAACTCTCTCCAGTAACTCAGCATACCGTAGACCCCAAACACCAATCCCGTATGATAGAGACGATATTATAATGGAACTATATAGTTTGATCCTAGATTCCCAAGTGTTGATCTTAGAACGACACATTAAATTCATGACTGCACCAATTGCCTGCGTGCTTTGGTCAGTGATACCCCTAGACATTTCCAGAAACATTGAAGAAGACGAGAATACAGTGTCTAAATAAGTAAAGTTTTTAACCACTTCGATCGACTCGTTGTTGAAATTAAATTTGCTCTGGTAGTTGGTATGATATCCTCCCCTACTAAAAATCATTACTTTTATTTTCGCAGTATTCACTTCCAATTCATTTTTTTGAGTATGAGGCTAGAGCTGTAAGTTTTTCAGACAAATCAATCATTGTGAATCACTCAGAATAACAATATCATCTGCGTACATCAACATCAACACATCATGTTTGCCATCAATATTGACCCCCCTAAGACCATTGGAATAAAAGTAATTTTCCATATCAGCAAGAAACAGAGAGAACAAGATTGGGCTCAGCGATTCACTCTGTATAACCCCTTGTGAGATATCATAAGCTCTAGTAAATTCATCTTTAACTCTAATAGACAAAGTAGCTTTTTTATTTTTTTTATTCATTTATTTATTCATTTATTTATTTATTGAACAAATAACTTCCAGACAGAATAGGCTCTGGTATAAGGAAGTACATAATTATATACCTATAGGTAAACATAGCATCTTTCAAAATATATCAACAACTGTAAATTGGCAAACAAAGAATAATATTTGTAAGAAAAAGAAAAAGAAGAAAAAATGGCATGATTAATTTTATCCAGTCCGCTCAGAAATAATCAGTTTTTTTACTTCATTTTTGAATATACCTATATTTCTGCAATTTTTTATATTATCAGGTAGGTAGTTTATTGAATTCAGTTAAGGCTGAATGAGTGAATATTTTTTGTCCGATTAGGGAGCTAGCGGCGTCAAGATGAAACAAGTTATATTGTCTAGTTTCATGATTATGAATTTCAGAATTCCGTATCAAAATAATATTCGACTTCAATTTTTTATTTATGATATTATATGATATTCTGAGAGTTTCAATTCTATATATTTCATCTAAAGAATACGTATTTGTTATTTCATACAATTGATTGGTTGGTGTATCAAATGGGAGACGATACAATACTTTTAATGATTTTCTATATAATGTTGATATTTTATTGAAATTATTTTTTGAACAAGATCCCCAAACATTTATTAAATAGTTGATACGACTCAGTACATGAGAATAGAGAATCATGTTTGCAATTTTAATATCAAGTTTGGGACATCTTCTCAATGCACCAATAATTGGAGATATTTTTTTTGCCAGAACATCAATATGTTTGTCCCACTTCAACCTGTCATCAAACCAAATACCAAGATATTTTATCTGGTCAGTTTGTTTCAAGGGTTCATTTTTTATTTTGAGGTTGAGGTAAATTTTTTGTTTATTTTTTTGGTGAAAAATCATATATTCTGTTTTGTTAGTATTTATCGATAAAAGGTTAGAATGGAGCCATTTTTCAAATATTTTCAAGTCTTCATTTATCATATTTTCTAAATCTGAAGGATTCTTGCCTTCATATAAAAGTACTGTATCATATAAACTCTTGATTATCCGTATGTATTTAGCGCTGATACCCAAATTATATAATTTATTCCATAAAAGGGCGTGGTTAACCGAGTCAAATGCCCTCTTGAAATCAACGAAGGCAGCATATATTTTCCGTCCACGAAGTCTAAGGTGAATTTGTATCACAGAGTTCAATACGAATATATTATCCAAACATGACCTATGTTTTCTGAACCCAGCTTGACACTCTGGTAGTACATTGTTTTCCTCGCACCAAATTGATAACCTATTTAACAGAATAGATGTGAATAACTCAGCTAAACAATTGAGCAAAGCTATTCCACGGTAGTTGCTGGGATCTGTTTTGGAACCTTTTTAATGAAGCATGGATATAAGTGTAGTGTGCCAGTTGGTTGGCATTTTTTCAGAGTTTAAGATATTATTATATAACGAGCATATGTATAACTTCCAGTTTTGAGGAAGATTTTTAATAAATTCATAGGTTACACCATCCCTGCCCGGAGCTTTTCCATTTTTACATTGCCATAGGCACCAAATATGTGATTCTGGTTGGCCAAAAATTCGCTCCATAATGAAAAATTAATGTTATTATTTGGTTAATTTGGGCAAAATCTGTATCGAAATTAAAAATGCTTTTCAAAAGGAATAATAACAATAAATCGGTAGCAGGTATTATGAACATGAAAAACCATCTATTGAAGGCAGGTGACAGAGTAAATTCGTTTGTGTTGTGTAGGGACCGCGACAACGACAGCGGCGAGGTGCGTGTGTACCCCGGCAAATTGCAAGTCTCGCAGGCATTCTGCACCGTGCCGGTGGACTTCAATTCGACGGTGGGCGACTTGATCCGAGAGGCGCTCAACCGCTTCGGCCTCGACGACTACAACGCCGAGGATTACCGATGCAGCGAGGTGCTGTTAGACAGAGGAGGTAAAGACTAATGTCTAGGGCTAGAACCTCCTGAGGAGGCGAATGTACCCGAACATAAGAATGTCCTTGACTGTTACCAGAATTCCTCTAAAAGCGCGCCATGATTATGTGGGGATTAGAATTTTGAATCATTGATGAATATAGAGAGATCCGTATATTAACAAAAACAAGAGAAAGTTAAAACAATGCCAACATATTTCCTCGTATCTCCCGAACTATTGAATTCAGAGGAAAATGTTATATGGATTTTTTGTAGATTCTATCGAAAGGAATAATTTTGGCTCTATAACATTTTCAGATATTTTCAGTTGTTTTCGAGATATTTGTAATTACCTGAGAATAAAATTTTCAACACTTTTGTTCTATCTTCCAATCAACAAAAGGAAAAAATATTTCATGGTTCAGTGGAAGTCGATGAGCTTCATCTATCCATAATATTTGTTTTTCATTATATCTTCATGGTACCCTATGGGTCGTTCTAATTTTTTTTCATATTTTTTACTTTATTTCCTGTACTATTGGGTTTACAGAAAAAATTATACACTACACTATTTTACCACTAACCAAACCGATTTTTTAACGCCTCGACACGTGTTTCGCTAACTATGTTAGCATCTTCAGGAGAAGATTAAAACTGTTTTAATCTTCTCCTGAAGATGCTAACATGTTAGCGAAACACGTGTCGAGGCGTTAAAAAATCGGTTTGGTTAGTGGTAAAACAGTGTAGTGTATTATTGTGCCAAAGGTTCCAGTCTTCGATATATATAGAAGAAATTATGGGTAATAATTTTTAGGAAATATTTCAGTGGATAACTTTGCACTTATGATAATTTTCGATTTTTCCATTTGTTTTCGATATATATTGAATTGAAAGGATTTCAAATTTTGATGTTTTGATTTTCATTTGTTTTTCCATTTTCCGATGGATGCACGAGAAAATGGTGATATGATAATTTGTTGCGTCATCAAAGAGGCATACGGTGCATTTTTCAAATTTGGATTTAGTCTATTGGTTCAGGAGATATATCGTTTTAAAGCGAACCGTGCGTTTCGGATAATCTCCTTGAAAATCCCACTTGTTTCCGACCCTGCTCAATTCCAATATGCTTCGTCTCTCCCTGATAGAGTTTTTTCTCACAAAAAATGAAATCAATCAAACCACTTTTGCGATTTGTAGAGTGGTCACAAGAAACTTCCGGTGCAAAATCGAAAAAACCAGGAAATACCACCTTAGAGTTTTCCGATTTCCTTCATATTCAAATGGCATGATATTGTTTTGAGTACAATAAGATGGCAAAATTTCAAGTCGATTTGTCAAAGGGTTCCGGAGATATATCGATTTATGATTACCACAGAGTACAGGGTATTCCAATTTGGGCACTTTTGCGGGGTATCTCCCTTATCAGTAAAGATAGAGCATTGCGGTTTTCGCGACAGTGTGCTACTTTTTTATGAAATTAATAATGGCGCAAGCAGAATGGTGATAGCTCTTCCGGTTGTCGAGATACAGGGTGGAATTGAAAAATATCACTTTTCAGGCACCCTCCGTGTCTCAGTTATCTTTGAACTTATCGAAGAAGTTAAAACTTGTTTTTATAGAGTTTTTCTCGTAGAATCCAGTGACGTAGTTATTTTTTTGCTAGCACCTTTTGTTTTTTAGTTATGGAGCAAACATATGTTTTTTTAAATGGAAAATAATTGTATACAATTATATATTTTTGGAAAGCCCACTTCATGCTCGATGTATATATGAAATAATATACAGGGTGTTCCATTTAAAAAAACAAACAAGAGCTATCACAATTCTGCTTGCGCCATTATTAATTCCATAAAAAAGTAGCACACTGTCGCAAAAACCGCAATGCTCTATCTTTAACTGATAAGGGAGATACCCCGCAAAAGTGCCCAAATTGGGATACCCTGTACAGACAGACCGATAGACAGACAGACCACACACAAAAACCAAAGTTGCTCAAAATTCGATAAGGATCATTTTCTCCACAGTAACTATACCTCTATCTTGCTTAGTTTCCGAGATAGCATTTTTGGCAAGGCCGTAGTATACTCCACTATGTATAGCGTCGTATAACAACAATTGAAGCATACAGAGTTGAATTCATAATTACAATATTTTATCTTGGTCATGAAAATGCTTTTTGGTCTGCAAAAATTATGATAGATTGTTCCTTTAGACTCCTGCTGATGTAGGCGATGTAGGTTCATTCTTGGATCAAAAAGTTGTTACTATACCAGTTGTTCTTAACAATGTGTGGTGTTAGGTAGTGCTGTTTCTGTAGGACTGGAGATAGGTATTCGATGATTTATCAATAAGTAAGTATAGGTATATAGGTATAGGTATTCACTTTACTGATATGGCGGCATCCGCATTAAGAAATTACTAAGCAGGGTACGTGGCTCAACGAAAATATCTGTTTATCAAGAAGTATATAATAGCTTTACGTAAATCTACAGAGTTTTCAAAAGTAAGTCGGTATACTACTTGCTAATTTGGTTATTATTGATGGAGCTACAAATGTCAGCTAGTTGAGCTAGTTAAAAGGGTAAAGTATACCCAGTAGAGTACCAAGGTTGTATTTTCGCGCTGATTAGTACGATGATGAAATCGAATAGAATGTATACTGGGTGTCCAATTTAAACATGTTGAATACGTCGTGACTTAACTCGTTGATGAGATGTTAGATTTTGAATTTGATCATCGTAATCGGCGAAAAAAATACTGCTATAGTTTGTTATTCAAATATCTACCTATATAGCATGAAATTGGGAAAATTGAATTTCACCAAGACCCTCGCTGTTACATTGATGATTCGCATCTAAACAGTTACATACACATTTATCACGGTAATTTTTCAATCAAAATCAAACAATCGAATACATTCGTTTTAACATTGAAATTGAAAGACATCAATCACTGGTTGAGTATCAAAACAAAATTGAGTAAGAATTTGATGAATAAACGGAATGCCAAAAGAAAGTTCATATGAATTGTGGAAATCTTCAGCACACAACTTTATCCTCATCATCATTTTTCTGTGGACTTGTTCCCATAATATTGCTTGGTAGATACTCTGGTTCCCCTCTTCGAAGGATTTTATCGTGCTCACTGTCGTCGCTCAGGTAAATTGGCCTCCTCGATCGGAAGGTGCTGGCACTAGACTCTAGTGAGGTGAATGTAAGTACAGGGCAGTGACACCTCAACAGCTTCTCATGATCTACAAAGCGCAGATACGGCCTGTTCTAGAATACTGTTCCCACATATGGGGTTCAGCACCAAAACATACGCTGACGCTCTTAGATTCCATCCAGAGAAGAGCCATTCACCTGGTGGGTGACGCCACACTCACTCACCCTTTGACATCATTGGAACACCGTAGAAAGGTTGGCGACCTTTCAATTTTCTATCGATACTTCCACGGGAAATGTTCTTCGGAAATCTCTGCTATCATCCCTTCACTAACAATACCAATCAGACGAACTAGACAATAAGCCCAGTCAGCACATCCTTTCGTTGTCAACCTCGAAAGATGTCGAACAGCACTTTATCAAGACTCCTTCATCCATATATACCGATTAGTCTTGGTCTTGGTCTCGCAATATAAATGTAGTCTAGTTCTTGGTATTGGTCTTGATGTTTCATGACCAAGACGAGACTGACTCAGTCTTGGTCTTGGCCTTGATAGTCTTGGCTTTGATAGTCTTGGCCTTGGATCAAAATGTGACTAGAAATTTGAATTATTCAATTCAAATATCCAATAGTTTATATGCATATAATAGGTATTTGGTATTCCTCAGTCTTTAAAATTGTCAATTTGTGCGTATAAAGTAAGCAAAATAAACTCATTCTTCTCTTGGGAGAGAGTCTTGGTCTTGGTCTCGAAATTCAAGTCTTGGTTTCGGTCTTGTATCAAGACCAAGACTGGACTCTTGGTCTCGCGAGGCCCTAGTCGCCAGGGTAGATGTTGCTCTTGTAATTAGTTCGTCAATTCATTTTTCGGTCATTTTTGATGAAATGATAATAAATAGCTCACCAGATCATACTACTTCTCTCACGCTCGCCATGACTATATTTTGATTTTTGCTGCTAAATCTGAAGCCTGAGTAAACTATTTTCAACCACTTCAACACACGACACACCAGACGCGGAAAGCACCACAATGACTATAAACAAGCCACCCCACTCCTTTCTGGTCGGCCGGCCGTACCTGCGAGTATCTCCAATGTCTCCCGCGGTAGAAACATACATATTGCGTCTTTGAAAATAAATAATATTCTAGAAATTGAATACATTCTCATCGCCAGAGCTTCTTGCATGATGTTTCTTGGACTGCTGATATTTGTTTTGCCATATTAGACACATTACTTACAATATTGAAGTTATACTTGAACGATTGCCGCTCCTAAGCGGTGAATGTAAATCAGTACTGATTTCAATATTTTACTTTGATACTCACTTACTTGCAACAATGAATTTCATACTGTTGACAGGAAAACTACTCTGTCTATCAAGTTATTGATAATTATAATTGCATTTACAGTTTTTCTGTTAGATTTCTAATCTAACAAGTATACCCTACTTGACAAATTTCTTCATTTCCTAGTTACCGAGAGGGTGTTATCATGGAACGAACGTCCGTGGGAGATAATGAAGCAGCTGGGCAAGGACAGCATAAGACAGATGGAGCTGATGCGGTTCTACCTGCAACTCAAACAAGATCCGCACGGCCCCAATTTGGCGTTGTTCGTCGGCAATCTGCCGCCGAACTTGTCCGAGCGCAACTACGAGAATATCCTCACCGATTTTTTAGGAAAGGGTAAGAAACATTACTCGATTCGAATCTGTGGATTCGGAAGAACAAACTGAATATTTTAGAATCGTCCTACCGACTGCGCCATAAATTTATAGTCCAAGAGCCGGCTGCAAAATTTGACAGTCTTCTGAGAACTAATTAACCTTCGTAATACTAAGTGTGGTAAATTTGTACCCCACATTGGTATTTTTTCGTTTTTTATGGCGATAATTCTTGTTTCGTATCAATATCCGATGTATTTTCTAAATCGTTTTATAGAATATCAAATACAATAACCATGCCATTCAGTATTTTCAGACCTTCAAAGTAGATTAAGAACAAAAATACTCAATTTAGTAATGTACGTCCTCGGCGGAAATCTGTAACAGAAGTTGATTCTTGTCTTTTTTCGAGTTCATATTTGTAGGATCTCTTTTTCTCACATTGATTTCGACTCTCATAGTGTGAATACCAATCTGCTTGGTAATCTGTCTGTTCGCGACATTATATCTATAGTTATTTCGAAGTGGTTGGAATTTTGATTTGTCTGGCAAGTGATGCTTGTTTATTTTTATCAGACATGTGTTACTATTCCACTTTTGTTATAGAATATCTATTAAGATATCAGAAAATGGCTGGTGTAAAGCCTAGAGATGTAAAGAGACTAACCAAGCAAGAATTAGAAATGTATCATAATGAAAATTTTGATCATGGGGACGAGGAAGACAGTGAAGAAGAGGACATAGTCAAAGAAACTGGTGCTGTACCGGATGAAATCTTGTCTGATAACCCTGACTATTTATCAATGCCTACTTTCACTAGTAAGGATGGCACTCTGTGGTACAAAAGACCTTTGAGAAATACTAAATCCACATCTTACTTAGAACATAATAAGGCATGGATTGGGCCTTACAAATCACAGTAACAATTTCGAAAGTTTCAAGGACTCGTTTTTTCTTTTCATGTCTGATGAAATATCAGAAATTATTGTTGTAGAAACAAATGAAGAAGCTCTCTATGAACACGGAGAGTGAAATCAGGAAAATCCTGGAAATAAAAGAAAATGAATGCCGACTGACCTTATCGAAATAAAAGCATACATAGGTCTTTTGATTTCTCAAGGAGCTCTAAAAGCTGCAGAGGAACCGACCGGAATCTTATGGACAACAGATGAGAGCTATTGCAGACCCATTTTTCCCGCTGCCATGTCGAGAGATCGGTTTCTTGCATTGACGAGATTTCTTCGCTATACCGATTTACGCATTAAAGCAGAACGTTAAATTTCAGATGAATTAGCTCCAATAAGACGTATATGTGATATACTTATTTGGGGAAAATCTGAAACTTATGATGTATCCTGGAACACACATGACAGAAGATGAGCAACTGCTAAGTTTCAGAGGACCTGCACCATTTCGGGTCTATATGAAAAGTAGACCAAATATGGAATTGAAGTTTGGGCTATGAGTGATGTTGAGAACTCTTACACCCACAATCTGCAGATCTATTTAGGAAAGCAAAAGGATATAGTGGAAAGGAATCATGGTGAACGGGTGGTTCTTGATATGGTTGAACAATTGGTTATGGGATAACCACCGATAATTTTTTTACGTCTAGAAGTTTGGCTGATAAACTTTTGGCAAAAAATGCAACTCTTCGACGAGGTGTACGTAAAAATAAAACCTTCATTCCTAAAGAACTTTTTCCCAATAAATGTCGTCCGTGTCCTTCTAGTATTTTTACCTTCACTAAAGACCACACCATGATCTCATATTCAGCTGAAAAAAATAAGGAAGTTATTTTGTTATCGACTGAACATTTTATGAACCAAATAAGTAATGAGAAAATCATGTACAAACCCGAGATTATCCTTCACTACAACAAGACCAAAGGTGCCGTTGATACGACGGACAAAATGACAAAAGAATTTACTACTTGTCGCATAACAAATAGATGGCCAATGGTAATTTTTGGACACATGATCGACACCGCAGCACTTAATTCCAACTTCTTGTGGAAAATAAAATACCCTGGGTGGAATAAGTCCCATTTGGATGGAAGGCGCAAGTTTTTGTTGAGTCTCGGTGAAGAACTTACAAGAAGAGAAAACATAGTTAGAAGGTTTGGTATAAAAGACAGGCTTCACCAAACAATTCGTGACCATATGGTTAGGTTGTTCCTCAGTTAGGTATATAGTCGCCAGTAGTTCCAGCAGGTGAAAGGACATCTGGACGTTGTACTCTTTGTCCTTGGAAAAAATGATAGAAAAACCCGTAACAAATGTGAAATTTCCGGACAGTTTGTTTGTTTAGAACACAGCCAAAAGAATTGATATCTCAGAATTCGTTATTTGTGTATTTTTCAATTGCAAATCATATGATGAAACTGAATATTATGAATATATAATTATGGTGATGGAGTACAAAAATACCCTAGTTAGTATAATGAAGGGGTATTAGAATTACGAAGGTTGAACATGTGAAAGTGGATTATGTTCCCTTTGCGAATATCCAAACGTTCCGCGATTCAAACTGATCCAAGTTAGTGGCAGAGTTCAATATTTCCGGGAATATTTCGCACCTCTCGAAAACGAAAAATAATATCCGATGAACCAGTGTGAAAAATTCAACATGTAGATTTGAATACTTCTAGTGCGAGCACACCATGAGTTTTACACTGTTCCATCGGATATTGACCCTGAAATATTTTCAGATATCTTGATGTTCTGCCACCAACTTAGATCAGTTTAAATCAATGCATGTTTGGATATTCGCACAAGGGGCATTATCCACTTTAATTTGCTTCTTGTTCAGACTCGATTATTGTTATCACATGTCCAGAATAAAGGCAGCAAAATATGCAACCGGCTCTACTACTATCAGTTTTGGTAGCACTTCAATTGATTCATGTATAATCAGTCAACATACTCGCTACAATTTCATTTCATTTTATTCATTCCAAATATGGTCAAATTACATGACATATGGACAAGTCACTAAAAACTAATAACTACTACTGAATACTGAGAACCAATTAACATATACAAGATATATATATCCACAAATAAAATATTTAGTAGAACATGAAAGAACAGTGCAAGAACATTATTTTGAAATTTGATATTGAAATATTTATCTACCGAGTATAGGGAGTACTGAAGTGAAACTCTTTATATTGTTCTTGACATTTGATATATCTTTCAGATCATAAGGTAGATGGTTATATAATTTTAAAGGCATTAGAGTACAACTTTCTGCCATTAAAGTAAGTCTATGAGGGCAATCTAATCGTCGACGTAGATCTTATATGGTGATTACCCAATTTCATCTGATACAGTGTACTTACAGATGTTTCTTTTCACAAAGATTATATACACAATCAAGAGTATTCATAATGATATGACTGTTAGAATGTTTTTGCAGGAGTCAGTTCGATGTCTAGCAGTTATTGTTCGCAGTACTTTTTTTGTAATATCAAGAGATATTCAACTTTCTTTGAGTTTCCCCAAATTGTTATTGAATAAGATAAAGTAGAGTTGATATATGAATGGTAATACATGAGTAGAATATTTCGGTCTTCAATTTGTCTCAATCTCCAAAGTACAAAACAATGGGATGAGACTTTTTTTGCTATGTGATCAATATGAGTGTACCAAGGGTGCTGATAGAGCTATCATAAGCCACTACTGAGAGGTCTTCGCGGCAAAAAGAGAGGATTGACCACCACTAAAACAGTAAGGTGAATTATTCACGAAAATAATGAAGAGTAAGGGTCCCAGGATATTTCCCTGAGGGACTCCTATCTCTATGAATTTAGTGGATGAGTAGTAGTTGGCGTCATGAACCCTCAGCAGTGTCCTCTGACTCCTGTTGGCTAGATATGACTTCAACCAGTTGTAAAACTGTCCTCTGACACCATAGGGATATAACTTTTTCAATAGTATTTCGTGGTTTACAAGATCAAACGATCGAGAGAAGCCATAGAACAACTCTGCAACCAGTTGTTGATTATATAGTTTGGTGTACCCTGATGTGTTCAGAAAATGAGCGATTGCATCCTTTGTACTCATATCTCTACGAAAACCGAATTGATATCCTTAGTTATTGATAATGTTGAAAGAGGTTAGAAAGTTAGTAGGCGAATATGGAATAGTTGCTCATAGGTCTCGGAGAAAACAGGCATATATAGTTTGACATTACAGAAACACTATTTTTTATGTATTGGTAGTACAAGAGCCATTTTCAATTTTGAAGGAAATACCCCTTCCTTGATAGATTCGTTCACCAGGTATGTTAGTATAGATACCAGGTCACAATATTATGCTATTGATACTATATACGTATACTCTGACACTTTGAAATCAAAGAAAAATGTTGCTTCTCTCTCTTCAAATATTAGACAATCCATTCGGAAAGCTCAATTTTTGTTATTTCAGAAAACAAATTTTCAAAGATTGGTCCGATCTACTACGAATACGGCTCGATGGTGATCACATACGAAGACTCTGACAAGGCTGTGAGGGCACTCTACACTCTACGAGAGTCCAAATACGAAGATAAACAACCATTACTCGGTGAGCATTTGATGATTGTTGATCCTTTTGAATCACTTGTTTCATAATATGCATTTTATAGTACGCCGATTTCCTTTTTTCAAGGTTGTAATGGTCATGATAATATAATACAACGAAATATTTCGAACTTGGGTCATTCTCCTTCAAAATTATCTTAAAATATCGAACAAATAATTAAGCTAACACACTATCTGCAAAAAAGAGAACAAAAATATAATACGGGGATGAAGAATAAACCTGAAAATATTGTGCAGAATGAATAAATGCAGAATGATGTTTCGAAGGAAGTCTCATGCACTACAATCTTCAATAATAATAACGTGACGAACAATCGACAATCAATCATTGTTGTCTCCAGAGTAAAGAACTGAAAGTTCAATACCTCAACTACCACATTATTATAGTACTTTGGACATTGATTCTTCAATTTGCTGGTGAGTTTTGGACTGTGGTTGACCATAAAATGAAAATATCTTTGCTTTGTGATGTGTTTCCATGAAATCTCAAGGTTGTATACAGGGTGTCCCATAATAACGTTCATATACTTCGGGAGGTAATTCTGCAGATGAAAATAATAAAAAATATTCCTATCAACATATGTTAGAAAACGCTTCATAAGGGCGCTGAAGCCCTTTGAAGGTATAGGTCCTTGAATGCAGGTTTCTTCAATTATCTTAGTTATCGCGTTGATCCTAAAATCACTGAATGTTGTGCCTAAGGGCCATTCAATCTTACAAATCGTTTCGTGGCACAAAAACATACAGGAAGGTGCGAAACTCGTAACCACCCAGGTAGCACAGGTTAGTGGAATGACGTCATAATGACGTCTTTTTTAGGTCATTATCGGTCAATGACGTCCTCGACTTCAAATAGACCTAAAAATGACGTCATATTTCATGACGTCTTATTGACGTTCAATATTGGACGTCTTAATGACGTCCCTACAAAGTCGTATATTCGACCAAATAAGAAAATTCAGTCGCTTTCTTACTTCTTCATCGTTTGTTAATTGTACGTATACTAAATTTGTGTTTGTATATACAGTGTTTTCGTGAGTACTGATGAACAAATTTATTTTCAGCCAAATTATGCATTTTCGAGGAATCTGCTGAAAACGGTCGATTTTCATTCTCAATTTGCCATATATTTATGAGAAAAATTGAATATACATACATGGTGATCCACGTTTGAGTTAACGACATAACGACAATTTTTTAAATAGAGCACCTTATATATATGACTCAATCTTTGGAATAACCATGGGAAGCGGAATTCGAAAATGTTGAACACAATCATGTGGATTGTATAGGTAAGTGCGTCCTATAAATCAGATGCTCTCGTGAAGTAGTGGATAAATTTATCATTATCCAATATATCTATCTTATATATTTCTGAGAGAACAGGAGAGGATCAAACGGATATATATATATAATTGAATTTTCGTAATCAAATGTATATCACACAAAGGGTTTGTATACAGGTCGTTCGTTACATTCAGTTCAGATCAGATTGGGCAGTAACAATGAAATGAACAAGTGTAGACTTAAGAAGTTCCGAGACCAGCATATATTACATGCTGATTTGGAATTGTTTTTCAAATAGTGTCCGAAACATGTATGTACGAAATTGAAAATAATCAGATTGTGAACTATTTGAATAAAGCCTTTAAAAAAAAAAAAAAAAGTTCTCTCGTAAAATTGGATCGCCATTAAAATATAAAGATGACGTAATTTCTCCTACACGAATCATTCTGTATATATTTATTCAATATGAGATGAAGCTTGAATGAAAATAAAATTCTACAGCTTCGAGCATTATTCTCTGAAAAAAAAACTGTTTTCAATTTTCAACAAATTTATTCGCAACTTCGCAAAAGAACTTAATTCAACGAACGCACTGTATACAAACTCATATATTTTTGAATCCAGCTTTCCATAGAGACTCCAAAAATCGAATAATTTTTAGGGCGTTGTTCCTTTGAAAAAATGGTCGCGGACGTTGTAACTCAAACTTGAATCACCCTGTATATCCAATTTTTTCTCAATTATGTTGGTAAGTTGAAATAAAAATCGACCTATTTTGGGACATTCCTCAGCAAGGAATTGTATGGTTAAAAGTACATTGATTGGCTACTTTATTTACTTCACGCGAGATATAACGGACACACTGTATACAAACCCTATGTGTAATATATTTTTGAATTCAGATTTCCATGGATATTTCAAAAATTGAGTGTATCTTCTATAGGTTATTATTGTTTGAAATTGAAAAAATTGCCGCGGACGTCCTAACTCAAACGTGGATCACCCTGTATATTTATGATTCTTACTTTCAAATGTGGCAAATCGAAAATAAAATCGACCTGTTGCAGAGGATTTCTCAGAAATGGATAATTTAGCTAAAAATAAGTTTATCCAGCTTACATTTCGCCGACGCTCGCTACATAATTTTAGGTACATAAATACGAGTAGCTAACGCTATTGTCATATAGAGATTCATAGGTAGAAGCGATAGCGCTAGGATTCAACAGGACTGCCCGGGAGGACCATCAACCAAGTTACCACAACGTATAGTTACAAAATGAATGTCATCAAAGGTTTGTGGTGTATTATCATGTACCAATAAAACCGTATATATATAAACCTCCAATTTTTTTTTTTATTTCGTCCTTTATTGGTCATTCTGCGACGTCATTATGACGTCTAAGTATGACGTCATATGGCTGTGACATTTTGACGTCATTATAGGGTCTCTCAGACGTCATTTTTGGACGTCCACTTCGTCATTTTATGACCAAAAAATGACGTCAAATGGACGTCACTCTGCTACCTGGGCCAATGCTATAATATTATTGAATTCTTTGTTTCAATATCTTTATCTCATTTATACCAGCAGAATAAGATTCTTCGAACATGAAAAAGGTATTCCGTTCTCGAGGAAAGCATGATGTGTTCTTAGGATAAAAAAAAAACTAGATGATCAAAATTTCACGTTGCCAGTTAGTTTTGTTTCATTGGAGTTATTTGTCATGTTGATCGTTGAAAAACTATCATTGACTGAATATCACGAACTCATTAAATTTTCGGAACATATATACCATACATATAACAATAATGAAAATAGGACTTTATTAGGCGAAAGTTTAGCTACACAGAGCTATTCTTACACATTAAATTAAGTGCATATATGTAAAATGAGTGGGTATTACAATATGTTTTCCAAGAAAACAAAACTGAATCTACTTTATATTCTTAATTTAACTCTCCACTTTAATATTTTTTGAGCTGTGGAAATATAAATGGTGAAGTAATCTGTGCATCTAGGTAGATTATTGTATTCGTTGTTCATCAAGAATTTTCTTCTTACCTTCATTCTGAATGACTCAATACTCAGATTTTTAACGTTATCATCTAAAGCATTATAAATTAGTATTAGTTGGTAGGAGAAAGATGCTTTCAATTTACTGGTAAGGAAGTGTGGGATGTTCACAGTAGCAGGATTCCTTATATTGAGGTTATGCAATAATTGATGACGAAATTGTATTTTTTAATAAAGGTAGTTGGGACGTTTCTCATTGATAATCTTATGGAAAGCAGTAGGGGCATGATGCAAATGATGAAAAGGAGATATCGACACGTGGGATATTGTTAACACTCCTAAACATTGTTGCTATACACAGTGGGCATTATCCCAGTAAACATGAAACATTTATGACATATTTCAAGATTACCTCAAATGTTATTGATTCAAAACATTTTTCAGGAACATTCCACGGATATTTCAAAATCACTGTAACATTTGTGAAATATTTCGAAACAACTTTAATTGATATATTCCAAAACATTTCGAAATTACTTAAAAAGTGAATGAATGAAACATTTAAAAATTACTTTGGTTGTGAATAATTGAAACATATCATTCACTACTTATTCTAAAATATTCCAATGCGTTTGAAATATGTTTGAAACGTTTCAAGATACCTCGGCGAACTATTGAGATCTTGAAACATTTCAAATATACTCTCATTGAGAATTACTTCAATGTTTCGAGATAACTTGAATTGCTTAATTGAAGAACATTTTGAAAGGAGAAGTTCGCAGCTATACACACAGAAAAAAAAATTCTTCGAATGAGAAAACTCATTCTCTTGAAAATTCAATTGTATATCTTCTTTGAATTGAGCATATTCTTTTGAGTCGAGAAATCTGGTATGTTCAAGAAAATATTGTCATATTATTGAAATATATTCTCAAACCAAGAATGTAATCATTGAATTACTAAATTAATTACTTCAACTCAATCAAAACGATTTTTCAATTCGCAGAAGCGTACTATTTTGTTTCAATAAATTTATTGCTTGATCCAAGAATATAGGTATACATTTCTTCAAATCAAAGAATGTTCATTTCATCGAATGACATATTCAGTTTTCTTGAAATGCAGAAACCTAAAATGTTGAGGCAATACGCCATTTTCTTGAAACAAAAATATAAATGATTATTTCTTCAAATGAAGCATTCTAATTTCATCATATTGGTATTATAATTTCATCAAATCGAAGACTTCTGATAGTTTTATTCTATGCCATATTAACTTGATTCAAAGATATGAATATCAATTTTCTCAAATGAAAGGAATTATAATATCTTCAACTTGATGAACTTGATGATATTAATAATTTCTCTAATTGAAGAAGCCACATTTTGATTCAATACTTTATTCACTTGATTCAAGTCTATGAATAGGTATTTCTTTGGAAGAAAATAATATGCCCTCGGAGATCAAGAGTGAGCAATCCTGTTGCCAAAACTTAGGCCTCAGTCTTCAATCATTATTGACCATGCTCACATCATTATGACAGGCCACAACGGCGAAACGGCATTAAGCTGCGAAGTTTGAAAATTTTGAATGTTTTATCGAGTGTGTATAGGTGAAAATGTCTTAAAATATAAATATCTAACAAATGCAGAACTTGTAGAGAGCTGGTGAAGGTATGACATTGAATTCCCTTGGTAAGTAGGTGTACCTTTCCAAATATCGATAGTCTTTGTGAGTGAATCAACAATTTTTCAATCAAAATAACAGGGATTCAGTAGTATCCTACTATGAAAATATGCTTATTAATTCATTCGAAATTTTTTTTGTAGCAAAATGACGACTGGTTGATGAATGAAGAAGTATTATCTACAAATGACTTGCAAAGACTTGAGAAGACCTTGATTAGGTGAAAGAAAGTTTCCTGTCGAGTATCTCGAATCTATATACCCGATATCTTTCAGAAGGCATGATATTACTGGAGTCACGATATTACATATTATAGAGGTGAGTGTTCAATCAATTATAATACTTATGTCATTATTTGTAACCGTTATCATTTCCAGCGAAACTTCAAGAAGACGAAATCAAGGCATGTGATTATTCTATAACCATTTGGGGTCTTGATGGACAATACAGATCCAAGATGTACATACATTATTGTCAACTAAAGGAACGAATATATATTTCTTCACGAATATTCTGATGTGGAGTTTAGTTATCTCATTGGGAATCATTCACAGTTCTGAATCAAAAATATTATTATATTCTTATCCACGCTGTCAATATTTTGATACAAGAAAATAGTTCCATTGGAGAGAATGAGCTCAATATTCATTATAAAAAACTTATAAATTCGGATCGAAAATATCAATGTGTTCATTGAAAATTTACGGAATTTTGACTTAAATAAATCGTTCATTTTGAAATGAAATAGAACAATTCTCAATAATAGCAATCCATAGTTGCAAATTGAGAAAATGATTGTTTTCATTTGATGGATGGATTCCATATCTCAAAATTATGGTTTTCCTGAAATAAGTAAATGATTTTGTCAATATGAATTATTTCTATTCTCACTTCAACATAACAAACGTCTCCAACCATGCATATCTTGATTTTCCTACAAGAGAGTTGTTGAATAAATCATTGTTTCGGAACAAGAATATCATCTCTTTCGTTATATACAAACAAATTATTTTCTTGGACCAATGCAGTCATGCTCAATACAAGAGATTATTTTTTTGTGTGTAGCCTTCAGCAGGATACATACCATGCTTTTTTAAATAGGCGAGTGAATGTCATAACATTACATTAATTTATATTCAGATAGAGTTTGTTTTTGGAGCACCATTCAGCACTCAGACGGTTCATGTATTCCTGCAAAACATTGTAATCCATATCACCCTCAAGTTCTCTGTAATTTTTTATATCATCAGTAAATGGAAGTTAAGAGAATTAAATATGATCTGTGATATCGTTTATGGTCCATAATTGGATCCTTGTGGGACACCTGAGGATGAGTGAAGTAGGAAGATTTTATGCCATCGCACTCGACATACACGAAAAAAAAGATTTGTTGCATCAACAAATTATTTGAATTATTTTTGTTGGACTGAGCAATTTTTCGTTGAATCAACTAGATAAATGATTATTTTATGGAAGCAGCTCTAGTTCAGATCAAGAATGTAGTCTAAATGAATCATCAGTATAATATCAATTCCATTAACAAAATATATGGTTCTCTCAAAAACAAATTATTTCGATCCAAAAAAAATGTCGATCTTGATACAACTATAAACATTTTGTTGATTTGATGAAAGCATGATCATATTGATGAGAATATACTTTGAAACAACATACAAGTTTTTTTATTCCGATGTAGCAATGAACTCGTTTCGAACGGATCATTTGCTTGAATAGAGCAACGAAATATGTAATGTCAATGAAATATTTTGTTCATTCTACATGAAGTGAAATTTTCGCCTCTAGATGGCGATCATTTCGTCTCGTCTATGCCTCGAATTCATTTTATACGTGAGGCCTGATTCTTCGTGTTTGAAACATCAGCTGGATAAATCGAACTTATAGTATGATTAGCAATCCGAAATAGTTTTGCATCAGCTGAAGAGAAGTAAAGACTGGAGATCTATGCTAGAAGTCGACTAGTCTCCTAGTTTAGTTCATTTTATTGATGTGAAATTTCAGAGAACTCCCGAATTAATACTGAATTTGGTTCAACAAAACAATTTGTCGAATGGAACTACAGATTCTCTTGAATCATAGAAATATCTCATTGAATCAACAAAATATTTCATTGAATTAACCAAATATTTCATTGCATCAACCAGAATTCATTGAATCAATCAAATATTTCTTTGAATCAACCAAATATTTCATTGAATCAACTAATAAGTATTTGATTGAATCAATATCCTGTTATTTTGAATCAAACAAAATGATTATTTGAAGCCAATTCAATATCTTTTCATAAACAATTCATAGATGTGCTTGATAGAATAAGATCCAGAGTTCATGCAAGACATATTTGCTTAATTCAACCTTCAAATTCGCTCTGAAAGATTATATTTTATCGTGCATATATATGACACTTTTATTTGCTCCATTCAATCTAATTTTGCTTGATTCAACAATACCTTTCCTTTCGCTGTATAGACTACGACCAGACTATTTTATGGATATCTCAATGTTCATGAAGTTTTTCTTCATTCACTATGGATTTCCATCAAGTAACGACCTCATTAATCACAAAAGAATAATGAAATTGCAGTGATGCTGTTGCCAAACATCGAGCCGTCGATGATCCCCGAAGGCGTGCAGCCGTTGCTAGTGTTCGTCAACGTGAAGTCGGGCGGCTGCCAGGGTCTCGAGCTCATCTCCAGCTTCAGGAAGCTGCTCAACCCCTACCAGGTGTTCGATCTCGACAACGGCGGGCCGCTGCCTGGACTCTACGTCTTCAGGTAGGTACCTACTACATCCATAGATACTTTGATCCGTAATCGTTCGATTCATGAATCTACATCTTCGAGAATACGGAATAGCTTCTTTCTACGGCTATAACACAAGATTGCTCTTGTTATTTTACTGTGTTCGATACTTCAATGAGGTCATCAATTCCATTTCCATATCTGATATCACAATGACTCCATTGTGTTAATTATTATATTAAAAAAATCACATCGATCATGGAACGTCAAATGTCAAGCAATGACAGGTCTGTCTAATAGATGAGCATTACTTGACAGGAAATCAGATGGCTTAAAGTCGGATAAATTGAGTATGCTGCTGTTATCTGTTACAGCTGTACAAAAATTATAGTGTATAACTTGCACAGAATGCTGATTTTCTACTTGAATTCATTCTTACTACTTCATTCTCGTAGGAAATCACTATATCATTTCGTGCTCGTTAAACAATATACTATATTTTCTACACCTGCTATGAAAAGTAGTGTAGGTATTTCGCATAGCAGTTTCCAAACCATGTATTGCTGATACTAACCTTTCATCATACTAATAAAATAGAATATATGATTTTTCACCAAAAAAATTAACACAAAATTCACCTCAACCCTAAAATGAAACATGAGTTATTGAAACAAACTGACCAGATAAAATATTTTGGTATTTGGTTTGATGACATGTCGGAGTGGGACGAACATATATTATTTCTCACGGCACTTCGCCAACATCACATAATCATTTTTTCATGGAGAATTCACAAAAATTGACTAACATTTATTTGGCTGCTGTTTGTCTTCAAATCGTTGTCACAACTATCAGCAGAAGTTTTTCTGATTCACATGGTAGTTCTTATTCGTGCTTTGATGAAAATCGCAATTTTCATTGAATATTATTCCAACAATTTATAATGAATAGCATGGATACTGATAGTACCGACGATTTTGATAATACTTTGCCAGAGATGATGGAAATAGATGGGAAAAGAAATTATTAATTGGCATATGAATTCATAGAATGTGAGAAGAATACCACAATAAAACATTTTTTCTCCTACTGCTATGAAAAGTAGCGCATTTCTCATAGCTTACTCAGTTTCAAAACCAGTTTCATACTGTGAGAACTATTTTTTCTCACGGCACTTTGCCAACACCTAACACCACATACATTTCCATGGAGAATCAATAAATATCGACCAAAACTGAATTGGCTGCTGCTCAGCTATGAATAGTTGTCACAACTGTCGGAAGAAGTTGTTTTAATTCCTTCCTTTTGTTTTATCAAAAACTGCATGGGTTTCAAGATGAATGCCAAAAATAATTTAATTGTAATGAAACTTTATTTTTTGAGTACGTATTTTGTAGCAAAATTTCAACAGCTAAAGGAACACATTTTTTTTAAATGGAAACCTCATGTAAACATAATATGCGTGGACGCTCAATTTCCGATATACAGGGTTTCATAGTTTGAGATTTTTCTCGTGCTTTTCAAGTTTTCTCCTACATTTTTCAAAATAATGAATTGAAATCTGGTACACCTGGTTCACTTCGAAAACTAAATATTTGGTTCTATCGAGCGTTCTCGAATATCTACAGGATGTTACACTTTTGTGGTCGTGCAAACATTGAAACCCTGTATATCGGAAACGAATCTCCCACGCATATATATGTTTATGTAAGATTTTTGTCTTGGAAAAATGTCTCCTTCAAGCTGTTTAGGTCCCGCTACAAAAAAATGACTCACCCTGTAGATATAAAGAAATACAATGTTCGACGTGGCAAATATCCAGGAAAGTAGTTGTCTTCTGTTGAATATTCAGTATGATGTTATGTGCACATACATATTTTTATCCAAAGGAGAATGCAAATTCTCAATTATATTAACAAATAATGTTTGTGACTAGTTTCGACCCAACGACCATCCCTGATAGCACACTGAGGTCACATATGAATGTCCATAGAACGTCTATTTACACATTCGGGACGTCTATATAGGACATGCATTCTTGGTACCGCGGACAAATATAGTACGTTCGTGGGACGTACAAATGTCCCGACTCCTCACCAAAAAAGAATATCCCTCAAGGATATACATTGGACCTCTTTGGGAAATCATCCAATGGACGTCCTTTCAGAAAGTTCATTGAACATTCTGTTTTTGTACCAAGGTCATACATATGACATCCCTCGAAACGTCCTCTGGAATGCCCAGAGGAAGTCCTCTGGAAAGTTCATAAGACGTCCTCTAAAACGATCATAGAACGGCCCTAGAACTTCCATAGGACGTCTTCTGGAATGTTCATAAGATGTACCTTTACGTACGATTTAATCTTGACTTTGAATTTATTTGAGTCTTCCTAGGACCAGATCTTGCATAACAGATAAGAAAATCCAGGCGAGTTGATGGTCCATAAAAGGTCCTTAATAGATCCTGTAGAAGGTTTAAAAAGATGTCTAATGGACTTGCGTAATGGACATTGACGTGGAGTATTTATAGTCTACCTGCAGGCGATCGTCGGCGAGGTGTGAGTTAACGTCCTCGCAGGGACAAATGGGACATCCTTAAAACGTTATTCCTAGGACATTGAAAATTATCATTCGCTTGCGTGAAGAACATTTATATAGGATGTATATGTGAAGTCCTGATGTCAATTTACACAACCGATTGATATCCCTTAGGACACAATCCGAATCGTATCCAGGACATTTTGAGGACCGTCCATAAGATGTTGTACTCATGACATCTTATGAAATGATATTTATCGAAGAATTTTCTTGTACCTATACTTATTACATATGGATTCTCTATAGGAGTTTATTTCGAAATCATAACAGTTCATGTACCAATTGGGACATCCGACCTAAGGGGACAAGTGGAGAAAAGTTTAACTAAAAGCTAAAATATGGAATGAATTTTGTCGAATCTGTTAAACTGCTTGTGCACAATTGGGTTGGCTTCTCCTTTCATTCTTTTTGTTTTCTGACGTCGCTCTCGGTTCCATTATTATTGATAATGAGTTTTGAGCAATATTTTTTTTTGTACAGAAACATCAAGAACTACAAGATCTTAGTGTGCGGGGGCGACGGTACGATCGGTTGGGTGTTGCAGTGCTTAGACAATGTTGGACAAGATTCGCAATGCTCGTCACCTGCGTGCGCCATCGTACCACTCGGAACAGGTAAGTCATCCATTCTATTTCACTAGTAGTATAATATGTACTTATTTGGTGGGTATGTACAGGGTGGCTACAGATAATAAGGGATACAGAGGGTCGGTTGAATTATGGCAAAGTTGCGCAATTTGATGCCTAACGAAATACCGTTCTGAAACTTGGAAAATTCCAAATACTTTCGGAGATATCCGAAAAAAAAATCGAAATTTCATAAAATCGTTTTTATTTTTTTTCGTGTTATTTGAAGGAATTAATCGATATGTATATCACTTCATCATAGCCACTTTTTCCTGCCTACAAGATGGCGTTTTCAAATTCTGAATCTGACGGTTCGTCTTCCAGAAACCATCATCAACATATTTTTTTCAAATACGGACCTGGATTTTTTATTTCATTTTTTGTTATCTTTGGATAGCCCAAAAACTATAAGATATCACAAATTTCGATGACAAAAATTGACAATTTCTTTATTTTTTCAAAATATTACTGAAAATGGAAAAGGCGGCCTTGATTTCAAAGATGAAAAGTCACAACCACTCGTCAAAAAATGGACATTTCAATGTTAAGAATAATTTGCGGGATCAAAAATGGTGTTTTCTAATTCAGAAAAACGTGATATGGTCCAAATTCATTATAGTGTTGATAGAAACTCGCAAATGTCTTGTAAGAGATATTTACTGCAATACCCCGAACGACCACAACCGCATAACACGTATTTCAATAATTTGGACAAGAATTTGAATCTGTATGGTAATTTTAGTGAACCCCTAAATGCGTATGGCGAAAGATTTGAAGCTGATGATGAAGGAGCTGTTATAAATGCGGTACCTTCATTTCATCCAAAACTTAGATGCTTTTGATGACGAGCCGTTAAATATACTTCAGCAAATATGGTGGCAACAGGATGGCGCACCACCCCACAATGGAAGGGCCGTCACTCAGTATCTAAATGAAACATTTCCCAATCAGTGGATTGGAAACCAAGGGGTGGCGCGCTGGCCTGCAAGAAACCCCGATTTATCCCCGCTAGATTATTTTCTACGAGGATATTTGAAAAACCGTTTGTATAAAGATATTTCACGGGACATATAGTTATTTTCCTCACAAGTGCGTAAAGTGATTCTTTCCCGCACGCGACTGCCGTTGACACGAACGACGCGAAGCGGAGTTCGGGCAAGCAGTCGAGTGCGAGAAAGACACTTTCCGCATGAGCTAGGAACAATATTTTTTCTACAAGCGTAGGAATTTGATTGATTCGTTCGATTAATCATTCATGCAAATAGGAACAACTTACAAGAGAAATATTCTCTATCTACTAATTAATAGTAATAGCTATTGCGAACTTACAGTTTGAGGTATTATCTAGGTTCATTACGAAAGCCAGCAGGCACATAAGGTGTTCTCTAGGTTTCAGACACTTCTAGGACATGAGCCAAAAATACCCAGACAGCACCAGATATTCCATGAATCTCCCTATCATATTCCTTTTGGAATATTGGAATATTCTAGAAATAATCTGGAATATTCCGGAATATCTGTGGAATATTCTCTAAATATGCGAATGGGAATTCCTCAGATATTCATAGAATATATCCAAAAGAATATTCCATGTTGAATATTCCTGGAATATTCCAGTAAACATATTCAAAAATAAAAAAAAGTGGCCCTAGTAGGGATCGAACTCGTGACCTCAAGACTATCAGACCAACGCCTTGACCACTAGGCCAGTAATCGAATTGAATAATGTTGTACATATCAATTTCTTGTGAGAGCGTTGTTCGAAATCGGATCATAAACACTTTTTGTTTCAAAATCCCCTTACATCTAATTTTGATGTTCGATACTCACAACTCTGAAATAATGATGGGTATTTATGTGTTGGGAAACATAGGAATATTCATGGAATATTTCATGAATATATACCACAGAATATTCAGTTCAGATTATTTCATGAATATACCGCACAGAATATTCAGTTGAGAATATTTCATGAATATACCCCACAGAACATTCAGTTGGGAATATTTCATGAATATACAAGAGGGAATATTCATTTGAGAATATTCCTGGAAAATTCATACCTGAATATTCCCTGAACATCACTATGGAATATTCCTTCTAGATGTTCCAGAGGCATGTATATATTTTAGGAATAATCGATGAATATTTTGAATATACTCCACCTTTTTAGCATATTTAGAGAATATTCTAGGAATATCCAGTGCTGTCTGGGTACTTCTTCTTTATTCGGTATTTTCATTTCTTTATTGTTGCACCATTCAATAAAACGCGTGTATAGCTTCTCATACCTTTCTTGAGACTTCGTTGGCAATAACGCATCTAAATCGCATCCCTATAGCTGGAAGTTTTTGATCACATTGTGGCAATTCCACTGAATCGAAAATGACAGTAACGCTGTGTCTGATGTCACTTCGACAAACACAAATTTATTTGAGGTTTGATTGGCATGACAACAACAATCGTTTCACATCAGATCAATACAAATATATAGAGGAATTTTTATAGTATTCAATTTTTATTTTTCAATATTTCTTAATTTTCACAATAAATAAATAAATTTGAATGATGATTCTGAACATATATACTTGATGCTGCAACAAACAAACTTAAACTTTGATATTCCATCACCAACCACTTATATTTTGCGATATCAGCATATCCTTGTTTTTTCCGCATTTTTGCGGGAAAATGACACTTCCCAAACTAAATTGCGTGTGGGTATAGGGTGAATCACGCACGCTTGTAGAAAATAGTAATTTTCCTAACAAGTGCGGAAAGTGATTCTTTCCCGCACGCGACTGCCGTTGACACGAACGACGCGAAGCGGAGTTTGGGCAAGCAGTCGAGTGCGGGAAAGACACTTTCCGAATGAGTTAGGAACAATATTTTTTCGACAAGTGTAGGAAATTGATTGATCTGTTCAATTAATTATTCATTCATATAGGAACAAATAACAAGAGAAATATATTCTCTTTCTACTGATTATTAGTAATAGCTATTGTGAACTGACAGTTTGACGCATTATGTATAGGTTCATTGGAAATGCCAGCAGGTCCATTAGGTGTTCGGTCTCTAGGTTTCAGATACTTCTAGGAAATGAGCCAAAAATACTTCTTTATTCGGTATTTTTATTTTTATATTGTTGCACCATGCAATTGAACGCGTGTATGTATATAGCTTCTCATACCTTTCCTAAGACTTCGTTGGCAATAACGCATCTGTATCGCATTCCTATAACTGGAGGTTTTTGATCACATTGTGGCGATTCCACTGAATCGAAAATGACAGTGACGCTGTGTCTGTCACTTCGACAATTATTACAAACTCATTTGAGGTTTGATTGGCATGACATCAATAATCGTTTTCCATCATATCAATCCAAATCTATATGGGGATTTTTATAATAATTATCAATTTTTATTTTTCAATATTTCTTTATTTTCACAATAAATAGTGCAATTTGATGGATGATTCTGAACATACATACTCAATACTACAACGAACAAACTCAAAGTCTCATATCCCATCACCAACCACTTATATTTTGTCATATTTTTGTTTTTCCCGCAGTAGTGAGGGAAAAAATTTCCCGCACTAGTGTGGGAAAATTTCCCCGCAATGTTGCGGGAAAATGATAATTCCCAAACTAAATTGCGTGCGGGTATACGGTGAATCACACACGCTTGTAGAAAAAATATTTTACGCCAATATTCAATGTTCGAAAAACAATCCTACGAGCTAGAGGAAGAATGATCCAGCGCACGCTTACGGGCAACCTGCGAAGACGCATACGAAAATGCCTAGAGGTGCAAGGGAGATTATTCGAGCATTTACTTTAGAATTTCATTCTCTTTCCAATCCAGGCATAGTTGTTATCAATTATCTGAGTATTATAGATATCATTTTGCCAAAAGTTCAGTTTCGTAATAATTTGGCAGTGGAGAGGTGAGGGGTTTCATTAAAATTTTGCCAGTGATGTTTAGGTGGTGATTAGCGTTCCTTAGTCATATTATTGATGAATAATAATGTTTCAAAAATAGTTTCGGATTGAATATTTTGAAAAAATAACCTTTTTCTGGACTTTCCGAGTATGCGTTCAATAATGGACGTCCTAGAAACGTCCATACAAGGTTGTGGACGTTCAGACTGACAATGATCATAAAATACAGTGCTATCTGGGCTGTAGTCTATGCTTTTACCTTCCAGGCAACGACCTTGCCCGAGTGTTGCGTTGGGGCGCAGGCTATACCGGAGGCGAAGACCCCCTGAACCTCCTGCGTGACATCATCGACGCTGAGGAGATCCGCCTGGACAGGTGGACGGTGGTGTTCCATCCGGAGGACAAGCCTGACGACGGCGGCGGCGGCGGTGGCGGTGGAGGCGGCGGAGGAGGCAACAAGCAGGTCAACTCCACCGGTAAGAAGAGGCAAAAACTGTCCAAAATCAAAGTGATGAATGAGCAAATTAGAAAAGCAGGTCAATCATTCATATGTGTCTTTAAGTTTACTCGATGTTGTTTTGCTGTAAGCCGACTAACGGGAACTTGATGTACTATTTCCCTTCTGTGTGTTAGCTGTTCGTCGACGACAACGCAAAACCAAGTAACTGGCAACGACTGGCGAAAAATTCAGAATATTTTGAAATCCATGAATACAAAACCCCTCATCTGGAAGGCAAAATAAATGCATCGTCAAAAACAAGTATCTATAACAGTTAGCCATGTGATTCATGTATCTGATATTTTGTATTGTGGTCGTGTTCAATTACTGAATCTCTGATAATAGGCGAGTGGACAATTTTTTTATTACTCAAATAGGATCATCTTTCGAATACCTCTCAATTTTTTTTAGAATTTTTTGGTCGATTTTGAAGTGGTGAAAACATCAATAATGCCACGGTAATTTTCTAACGGCTAGACATTTACCACGAGTGACGTCACGATCTTGTTAGTAGAGGCAGACCATAGCACAGTTGCCATATGTTGAAATGCGACTGGAAACTTCAGAAATATTAGTTATTCAATAACTCAAAAATTCTCAAACAAGTATTGGTTATATTTCGAATTATCAATAAAAAATCAATTGTCTAAAAATTTTCCCTCGTCCGTTGTGGCTTATTTCTTATCATACGTCTGTGTGAATATTAATAATCATAATTCACACTAGAAAATATTTTAATCGGCTAACGTGCACGGTCCACGAATTGTGGGCGGTGCCTCATCAGTTCTCAGCATTCAGCATATTGTTGCCAAGTCTTCAACATTTACATGATATTTCGTTTTGTAGTGTAAGAAATATTTGGCCATGCTGGTGCTCGAAAAAGTCAATAGTATACTATTATATTATCATGGGTTCCCTCCTATTATCTTCTATTCAACAACAAGACTCGTAACATCTGTTTGATAACTCGATTTTAAATGGTGACTTGAGAACATTGTTTCATGAGTGGGAATGGAAGATTATCTGACCAATAACGAAACAGCATAAAATATGACGTAACTATTTATTCTACGTATCACAAAATGGCGGCTATGACGGTACGTTTGAAATGAACTCTGAAATTCAACAAATCTGAACAGCGCATTATTCACATGAAAAGGGCGTGAGAAGGTTTGCGAAAATTAAATTGATTTAGATCCTTAACGATACAGTGGAGTAATTGAATGCTAATAATTAATTGTCAGTCCACTTGCCCATTGGTGAGTTAATTTTTAAGGAACAAATATGTTGAACAGTTATTCCTCAACTTCAATTGGAGTTTTTCAACACAGGATAATAAGAATTCATCATAAGTGTTGGTTAAACGGAAATTTTAGGAACATATATATGGAGTTACGTATTTTTTGCGAGTTACTTTTTCTGAATAATTGTTCCTTGTTCCACTTGTAACACCAAGTATCTACCGTGACAACACAAACGATAACATTTTTTCAATAATTAATGTACAAACGTAAGGATAATAAAAGTCAAGTGGTTTGTGGCATTTACTATTGAATCTGATCAGTTTACCCAACATTATTTAGTATTTAAGGTCTCCTGAAAAAAAAAATGGTTTTCAAAGTCACTTGGTTTTGCGGAATCGTCGACGTGTTGTTATTGTTATTGGATGTCGTTTTGTCGTTTTATGTTCAGTGGTTGAGTCAAGTTCCCAAGTATTAACTGAAAATTTTTTGAAATTGAATTACCAGTCACCTATTTTAGAATAATCATTATCGTGCATCTTGTGCGTAACGCAAAAATTAACACTACTAGGACTTTTTCGATAGACGAATTTTTTGAGCAATCTCTAACAGCTCGCATTTCTTTCACATTGTGACAACTCCTTATTCTTCAGTAATGACGTGGACGCGGATAGAAATTGCAATTTTAGAAGACTGTTAGATTAGTTTGCTTATGAGGGTAGTTTTGTTTATTTTTTCTGAAAAGGTATTTTTATTTCTAATTTTCAAAAACCCAATGTGCGAGCAATAAGAAAGAATTGATAAGAATAGTATTGTTCATAGAATGGTAAGGTTATTTCCTCGGTTATTTCGAATGATAGTTTCCGTTTGGTATCTATGTTTTTGCCTTATCATCATGTGCAAGGAACAGAAGAATTATTCATAGAAGACTGTCTGTTCATGTAAGAATAGATTGTTTGATGATACAGTTGCCTTTTTTGATAATAAAAGGAAATTTTCCTGCCTTATTTTCCATAATTCAATATGTCTGCTACTAAGATGATGAATTAATCATCAAATACTGTTTGTTTATGGTCAGGTTATTTATAGGGATAGTTCAACAGGTCAACTCCGCGGGTAAAAAGAGGCAAAAACTGTCCAAAACCAAAGTGATGAATGAGCAAATCAGAAAAGCAGGTCGATCATTCGCATATGTGTCTTTAAGTTTAACTCGATGTTGTTTTGCTGTAAGCTGACTAATGGGAACTTGATGTTCTTCAGTTCGTCCCTTCTGTGTTCTAGTCGTTGTTGTTGGGTGTCGTTTTTTTTTCGTGCAGTGATCGAGATAAGTGCTGCATATCTTTCAATAGACGAATTTTGAGATCAATTTAATAGCTCGAGTTCTTTCGCATGCTTACTATTTCGATTCAGTACATTATTTCTTCTATATGATAATAATAATAAGTTTCAGTAATATTATGGAGGTGGATAGTAATTCCTTTTTCAAAAGTACTGTTAGGTTAGGTTGTTTATGAGTGTAATTTTGTTTATAACTGCAGAAAAGGTGTTTTCTTTTTCGAGTGAGGCTTGCATAGCTGTGTAAACGTGTGAATATGAATAATTTTACAAATCTTGTATTAGATCTGTACAATATTTTTTCTTTTCTCACCTTCAGAAATTCAATATAAAAGGCGTGTTTTTTAATGAAATTACCACGGCAACACGCGTGAAGTCTGACAGGTCAACGTAATAATCATCGATTTGACAGGCATATAACGTCAAATAAAATATCACTAGGTAGGAAATGTGTTGTTTCCATATTTATGATCACAAAGTATTCGTGGATTCTGCTCTTCGAAACACTACCTAAATATCCACTTATACTTTGATATACTTTTATGATTTGGTTAGGATATTTGGAATTACAGTTTCCGGTTCGTATGTTCATGCCTTATTATCAATAATTAGTCTATATGTGCAGGCAACAGAAGAAAAATAAATGATCGAATACTGTCTGCTTATGATTTGATTAGGTCAAAAAACATGAAGTTTATTTTTCTGATAATGAAACGAAATTTTCCTGCCTTATTTTCCATAATTCAATGTGCTGGCAATAGAAGAGGAATTAATCATCAAATACAGTTTTTTTCATGGTAGGCTGAGTTGTTCATAGGGGGTAGCTAACTATTTTCACCGTAATGATATTCTCCTTCCTTATTTTCGGTGATTCATCGTCATGGCAAAAATCATTTCAATTAGTCTGAAAATTCATCAATGGAAAAAGTCTTGACTACGAGGATTTTGGGTGCAGATGAGCAGAATTTTCTATCATTGTCCGCTTTATGTCACCCAAATTCCGAAATATAAGAGGGTATTTTACCTTTATTTATTGGGAGCCTAATGCAAGTACATCTTTGGTTCAATTATTTCAATAACTTATTCTATATCTGGGGATTTCACTCAATCACAACAGACCTACTCATTTTTATATACAAGGCGAACCATTAGTTCGAATTTCTCCGATATTCCTAGCGATAATAGTATAGCCATATTCCCTTTGATTTTTCATTGTAACACACTAGGATGGAAAGATCAAACAATAAACTGGGGATCAACAAATACTTCGATCATATTTCATTCATCAGCTCAAAAGAAATGTTCGTTTCACATTAAATTCATCATAGTATAATTTCCGTTTGAAATCTCGATAACGCATGTTTGAAAATCATTTGTATTATGTTAATTCCTCTGAATCATCGAGAAATTCGGTACTATCGACCTTATGTAAATACAGTTACGATTGAAACTTCCTGCATAGTTATGAATCTATCCTTTCTTCTAATAAGTGTTCACAATGGTTATTATAAGAATCAAACTTTCTCAAACTCAAAACAAAAAATCATAAATATGGAGTGAAACATATTTGAACGTAACTGTAATGAAGTAGGTTTAGTTTATGTCTAAAAGGAAATATAAACATAAAAAGATAATAATTCATAATTAATATGCTGTAAACATGATAATCAGAAAATGTCCGTTCAAGTTTTACTGGTGCATCGAAGTAAATGTACTATTTCTTATCGTGTGTGGTGAGTATCACCTCAATATTTATATTTTACCTTGTTCGAACCGAAGTTTGATGAACATTATTGTTGTTGTTTTCTGTCAGTTCATTTCGATTATGTTGTTTTACTGCTTTCTAAATAATCTCCACCAATATTGGTTCAAATAAAACATGTTGACATCTTGTACCAAAGATTCTAGATGAGCAATAAACTATCAGAACCAAAACCTATTTCTTAGGGGTAAATAAAAAGTTATACTTTTTGAACCAATATATCTCATTTGTAAAGTACATTCTGCTTCAATTTTCTTGTTGTCAATAATGAAAGCAACTAATCAGTTTGCATATCAGTAGTTTTTTATTTGTTTTATCAATAATTCTTGGAAAGTTTATCCTCTTCTGAGCAGTGATGGGCAACCTGACCACTTCCAATTTCATGTGAATTATGATGACAAAAGTAAAGACATTGAAGTCACCTTCTCTGTTAGTAAATGCGGAATCCAACTGTTTTGCTCTAGTGATTGATGTCACTATTCATCCTAGATATTTCGATTGCCAATTGGCTTTGTATTTTTTTGTAGACCATTTTGAAAACATTTATTTGATGGTGAACACATCTTAGTCGTAACTCATGAATGGAGAAGGAGATTGGTGAATTCAGAATCGACATCTGAAATCAATCAATCATCGCCGTTCATTCTTAAGTTAGGACTTGATAAAATGATTAGCCCATCACTACTTCTAACTTTTGCGGTTTTTCTTCTTTCTTTATGCCATGCGAACCTACACTAAAAAGCACTACTATAAACTATCCTCTTTAATAACAAATTGAAATTCTCAAGTATTGGTAGAGTTAGAGGCGATTAAGAGTGGGCAAGGAAAAATTATTTATGATGATGAAAAAATCAGAGAATTCCATAAAATCCATAATAAAGCATAAAATTGAAACATTGTGCATATTGATCTCTCATCTTATTGATATTTTTCCCACTCTGAAACAAAATCTTTATAGATGCATGGCTTTTCTTTGTGAAAATTTACGGCAAAACAACATTAACTTATTGGTTTGATTAATGGTGATCAATGTAAATAAAATGTATATTTTCGCTATTAGCAAATCATTTGCCTCACAGTGTATTCATTGGTGTCATTTGGAATCATTTACCGCAACAAATTTGGCAGCTATCGAAGATATAGCTATAGTTAATTCATTCAAAATCATTGTGAAAATAGTAAAATGATTGTACTTCCAAAAACTCAATACTTATACCTAATTCGAGTTTTTAGAACGATAAGCCCCAGTATGAAATGAAATGAAACAAACCCAAAGTTGACTGATCACAAAAATATATTCGAGATATCTATATTATGACAGCACTAAATTGAAGTACTTTCTCTCTTAATCTCTTTTAATCTCAGAGATTTACACTGAATTGAAGTACTTCGATCCTCTCTGAATCTTTTATAATCTCGAAGATTTGCTGGTTAATGACAAAAACTATCTTTTCACATGTCAAAATCTGTCATTCCAACGATCGGCAACAGCACAAATACGTGAATTCAATTTTATTATGAATATAACTGGAATATACCGGGTGTCAACGAATCTATTAGACAAGTCATAACTTCTAGACTATTAGGTGTACCAAGATGAGATTTGGTATAGGTAAATGGTGTGTGTTTTCACGTATTCTTCACTTTCCGGTCAGTTCCGGTTTCACCGGAAATGGCTCCGGTTCTGAATTTTTAAATGAAACACCCTGTATATTGTAACATTTTTGGATTCCTGAGACAATTCTAGGTCAGAATGTGACAGTTTCGAAAGTTTTCATGCCTACTTGATTTTTTCGGAATCACTTTTGAAATAATATCTAGGTGGCAATGATCGGAAGTTAACTCATCTAAGGACCTCAGGTGATATCAGAAGATTACAATCGCGAAGTTTTAGTGACGAGTATGTTAGATATGAATAAGACAAGTTGGAAAAATTATATTTTCGTGTCGAACTATTATTTTTCAAATGGCGACCATTTTTAGACTAGCACTTTCCGAAAAAAGGATATTTTGACGAATCTAACGATACTAATTCATTTGCGATTGGATGAACAAATTTAACAAAATTAACAATAACTTGCGATGCACGTACATTCCTTTCAATTTCCTAATTTCTCAAAATTTTCACTATAGTAAATTTTCAAAGTGCATTCCTCCTTGTTCGAGACACATTTCAGCTCGTTCAATTGTTCCTCTTGACACGTTTCGAAATATTTGTGGCGTTATACTTCTTCTTCTAAGATTTCGAGAGTGACTGGGTCTCTTGCGTAGTAGACCCTTTCTTTGACATATCCCCGTACCCTAACAACACAAGTACATCCAAGGGACTTCCCACGGACGTCCCTAATTTTATAGAAGAATATCCCAGGTTATCCTTTGTAGGGACAAAGTAAACACTAGGGACGTCCCAGGGACATCCGCTGGCCGATAAAAAAGGCTTCTAAGGGATATCCCTCTAGTACGTCCCTGGGAAGTACCAAGTACAAAGAAAGGATATTCCTAGGACGTCCCAAGGATATCCCAGGGACATCCCTTCGACAAAAAAATATAGGTCCAGTAGGGATTGAACCTAGGACCTTTAGCTTATCAGGCACGCACCTTACTCCATTGGCTATTATGCCTTATTCTGAAGATTCAAGTACAAACAGATTTATAAACAGGACTTAACTACAGAAACCTGAATAAATACAACTTTGTTAGGATTTGGGTATAATTATTATCATTCTTGGGTGTTTAGAAATGAAGGGCATTATGCATTTAAGATTTCTGTTTGCGAAAAGAGGTCATTTCTCAAGAAGTTCTGAGACTATATTCTTTATTTTCATTACAATTATTTTCCAGAAGAAAAACAAACATTTAAAAAAAATCAACCCAATATTTTGATGAAATTCCATAACTCTGAAGTGAATTGATATCAGATATACCAGGGACACGAATAGGATAACCTAGAGATGTACCGGGCGGGATGTCCACTAGACAACCGCTGCGGGACATCCCCTGGATGCCCCAATCATGTCCTTGTACCGCGGGACAAAAAAGGGACGTACCTAGGACATCCCTGTGTCGTTAGGGTATAGTTTACTTCCGATCATGGCCACCTAGATGTAATTTCCAAAGTGACTCCCAAAAAATTTGGTAAACAAAATAACTTTCGAAAATGTCACATTTTGATCCAGAATTGTCTCAGAAATCCAAAAATGTTACAATATATAGGGTGTTCCATTTAAAAATTTAGAACCGGAGCCATTTCCGGTGAAACCAAAAGTGACCGGGAAGTGAAAAATATGCGAAAACTCTCCTCTTCACAACTTCACATACCATTTACCAATACCAAATCTCATTTTGATACACCTAATGGTCTAGAAGTTAGGACTTATCTAATATATTCGTTGACACCCGGTATAGCGTAGTAGTACGACATTTTTGGATAAGTTATGCTGTAATACATCACTTCATACTCCCTTTCCATGTGTTGCTAGCTGTTTCATTTTAAGAAAATCAGCAAATATTTCTTCATTTTCGATTGGATCCAACTGTTGATGAGTATATAGCTGGCATGATTACTAATTGAGTAGGTTTGTGGCACGTTTCAGGTTCAATCACACCAGCGACAAAATTCAGTCTCATCCTCAATTATTATTCGATTATACCTAAGTTTATAAACTTGAACGACTTTTGAATAGGTACTTGCACAATTCAGTTCATAAGAGGACATGAACGAGTGAGTTTCGAACTGTTTTGCTCATTTCTTCCATGACATTATTGAAATCAGCTAAATCTTGTCGAGACGGCAACACTGTTTACGTCACTGTATACGCGTTACAGTACATATGCCGTCAGTACCACTGACGATTTCTGGCGAGTTCTAACGGGAGAATTTCTTCGGAAATTCATTTTGGGCAATCTAGGTAGAATAGAATTATCAGTATTTTTTCTACGAGTCAGCGTTCATGCCTATCACCTGCGTATGACTTTGTTTTATCTATTTTACCTATATCTAATGTGTAACAATCAAAACAATTATCAATGAATTCTTCGAGAACACAAGCGGAGCTAGGTACCTTTGCCTTATATATTCACGTGGTCGGTCAACTTTTTGTTCGTTTGCACTACTATAACGGGTAGTAGGAAACAATTATTGCTATGATACACTTTATGGGAATTTTTTCTAGCTTGTTGAAATTATTAGCAGATCATTCATAGAACTCAGTGACAGATGATAGACTGAAACGGATAATTCCAAACGATCACCACGAATCCCTCATTGTATCCCCTTCGCAAACCTAACCTAAAAATGTTTCAGTGGTGACAGGATCGACGAGCGAAGACAATTCGCAGATCTTCGTAATGAACAACTATTTCGGCATCGGCATCGACGCAGATCTCTGTCTGGATTTCCACAACGCGCGCGAAGAGAACCCCGGCAAGGTAAACACCCACTATAATGACATCCCAGCAAACACAGTTACATCACAGAGATGTCGCAGTGATGTAACAATTGTGGCCTGCTTTATTGTATTCTATGTCGCAAAGACGTCACTGCAATTTCAGAGGGATGTTATTTTGTTCCACTCGAGTTTCACCCATGCGATGTCGCTGCGATATAACAGCGATATATTCTTCGCAATGTGATTGCGATAAGTTATTTGTGATGACGAAGCGATGTGCTTCTGTGATAAATCTATGATGTGATGCGAGATGACATCGCAGAAAAACAAAAAAAAAGTTTCTTCAAACATGGTTTGGTAATAGGTACACCACTGACTTCTGATGACATTTTATATTAGTTATGTGTTTTTGTGACTGCTATTCAATCATTTTTTCAGCGGCGCTATTCTTGCTACCTACGAATCTCTATCAGAATGAGATCAGTTACTCGTATTTGTAAAAAAATTATGTAGTGTTTGTTGGCGAGATGTGAGCAAACCAAGAATGATTTGATAGCAATGTAAGTTTGCAAATTTACCTTCACTTTGTTGAGTAACGTATTTTCATCTATTTTTTTCACCGAACACGAATGAAAATAACAAATTTTCGAATGATTCTCGCAGATGAGTCTGCTTCTGTACATCGCAGTGATGCAATATTCGTAATATCGTAGTGTTGCCCCATCGCGACATCTCAGAGATGTCATGTCGCAGATGTGTTTGCTTATGAACATCGTAGTGATGCAGATTTCTACCGTCATCTGATGAAGAAATGATATAATGTCCCAACGGAAAGTGAAAACATTGTTGTTCATCGAACGACACCTGTGCCAATCACTATCTTGAGCACAATGATCAAATAATTGCACTTTCCTGTGCGGAAGTTTGCACTCGATTTCGCGATTTGATACCGAGATAAGAATTATGCCATCCGATACCGATTGAATGGTAGATCTCAGGAACCTCTCTGTGTCACCCCTCAGTCTGAGCCAAATCCATGGCACAGCGATTTATTTGCTCCTATATTCCAGACATACTTCTGTCATGTGATATTGAGTTGAAAAAAAAGCAAATGAGAGGAAAAAATGTCCCTTTTACGAATATCCAAACGTGACACGATTCAAACTGATCTAAGTTACTTGCAGAGCCAATATTTCCGTGAATATTTTGCGCTCGCCGGAAGATAATATCCGATGTGAAACTAATGTGGTGCTCACACTACAAGTATTGTAATACATACACATTTTGAGTTTTACACTGGTCCATCAGGTATTATCTTTAGAGGAGATCGAAATATTCTCTGAAATATTGACGCTATGCCACTAACTCAGAACAGTTTGAATCGCGGCACGTTTGGATATTCGCAAAGCCGACTAAATCCTCTTTCATTTGCTTCTTGTTTCAACTCGTTATCACATGATGGAAATCTGCCCGAAATAATAGCAGCAAATAAATCGCCGTGCCATGGATTTGGCTCAGACTGAGGAGTGGCACAGGTTGGTTTTCGAAATCCACCATTGAATTGGTATCGGATGGTATAATTCTTATTTCGTTATCAAATCGCGAAATCGAGTGCAAATTTCCGCACAAGAAAGTGCAATTTTTCGATCATTTTGCTCAGGATAGTGATTGGCACAGGTGCCGTTCGATGAACTACAATGGCTTCATATGCCTTTGGGACATATTGTCGCAACTCAGATGGTTTTGGTAGATTATTTGGCAAACGGCGTGTCCACCACATGTCGCAACTCAGATGTTGCCCTCCTATGGATCGCAACTTTGCTACTCGCTTGGCTTGATGAGAGGATTTTGATCATTTTACCACCCAACCATATTCATCCCCAAATGAAGAGTCAAGATAGTTTTCGTATAAAATTAACATTTATTGATTTAATGGGAAAGTCGTGAATAAATGCTTGCCACATGACAAAGTAGCAGAGACAAACCATTGTGAATTACTAAAGGGAACACAACACCAAACAACAATTCAGATAGAACATGGAAAAACAGTACTTACATGATGGGGTTGACCAGCAGGATCAAAGTCGGGAAGACGGTACACATTTTGGCAGCAACTCGTGAATAAGTAACTCATTTACGGAATCAAGTAAAGTGTTATCGAAATGCATTATAATAGTAATGAATTCAGTAATCAGAAATGGGTGATCAATAATAATAAAAAATCAGTAATGAATAGTAAAAAAATGGCTTATCGATTCGGAATCTATTTATATTTGGAATCGATGCTAACATTGCAATTTTCCGCAATGGCAATGCTCGATGCCGGGCGTATAGCTTGGCCCGCATCGCAAGCTAAGCGGTTTCATGCAAATTTTACCGGAACTAGAGTCTATGAACTCCGCTTTGACCTGATCGAAATGCTGTACTAGATGTTTTAATTTGGAAAAGTTAATTTATGAATAAAGATCTAGAAATGAACGAAAGTTATTTCGTAGACATTTGTACTTCTTGACATTTCGTTATCAGATGACGGTCAAATTTTGCAGCCGGTTCTTGGTCTGAAAGGAATTGAAAAGGACGTCATGTTAAGTGGAGTGGGGATGATACGTTTCCAGACGAAAAATGTACCTCTTTAAGACTTACCGACATGTAGGTACTTGTCGCAATAATTTCACCTATATATTACCGTTCGTAGTTTATCAGCCGTTTGCACAACAAGAGCGTATACGTGAAGATGGGGCTGCGCAAGATGGTCGGCCCGAAGATGTGCAAAGATCTGCACAAGGAGGTCAGGTTGGAAGTGGATGGAAAGCTGGTGGAGCTGCCGCAGGTCGAGGGCATCATCATCTTGAACATTTTGAGGTTAGTTCGGCTTCTTCGAAATCGAATGCATAGCTCATTTACTATTATCCTTCATCTGATGTAACTGTCTTTTTTCTCAAGAGAAAGGAAAGCACCATATCAATTAATAGGTAAAAATGTGAATATGTCTTGGGGTTCTCCTCTTCTTCTTAGAACCATGCACTCCTACTATAGATTGATATATTTTGTTCAAATTTTTATTACTCTGTTTTACACACAATATGTTCTCAAAGGTGCGGCCTTCATTTTAACAGATTGTAGTACTCAATATAATAAGTCATTTCACAAATTCATTCACTCTCTCAGCATGTCTCTCTCTCTCTCTGAATTTTCGAATATCCCGTATAACGAACGATTGCTTAGGACTTCCGAATCCACGTTCATACGTGATGTCGAGAAATTTCATGAATGTTTTTCGCCTTCAGATGAGTTAATCATTTCTTCATTGTTATAATCGTTACATACAATATTTTTCCTACAACTGTTAAAAAAAGAAAACCTCATCAAACTTATGATGTGAATGAACAATAGATATTTACGTAATCAGTTAGGAAACGCGTTGTTTTGTGTAACGATGGGATTACAGAGTTACACAAAATGGCGTTTCCTAACGTGTCACGTACAATATTTTTTTTAATTTTGACGAAACATTTCGCATGAACAAAAATAATGACCAGTTTTACATGCGTTCTGCCGACTCTTGTTGTGTGAAATGAATGAATGAAATGAACATTACATCACCAGTTATGTAAAATTTTACTTTACGCAACTGGTTACGTAAAGTAAGACGTTTCAAAACTTCCGTCAGTTTTGAAAAGTGTCACATTACATGTCAAAATTAGAAAAATGATATTTCGCAATCATTACACGAGAGCTATTTTTGACGAAGGAAACTTGACATGTATCAATAAGAATTTTGTTGCCTGGCAATTTGACGAGTCCGTAGGACGAGTGATTTTTTCTGGCAGTTGTTTGAGTTGAATTATCTAATGACAACAAAATTCGAATTGTAAATGCCAAGTTTACTTCGCCAAAAAAAAAACTACAGTTCAATTCGGTAAGACAATTTAATTCATCAAACATTCGTTTTTGTCTGGTTGTCATGCTTTCAAAAGTTAGATTCCGTTATCGTCGCCGGAATAGTTGAGGAAAACTTTTTTCGCTGTCATAATTACAAAATCACTGCCTGAAGGATTTTTCATACATGAATTGAACAGTCAAGTACATATACTCATTTCATTTCACTTTATTGATAACGCTGGGTTTCTAAGGACGAATAAGCCAGGGCCACCTTTGGATTTGATCATCTCACGTTCAGCAACGAGAGCATATCATTATCTAATACGTACTATTTCCACACCTTTCCGTAAAATCATGAAACCGTATTTTGATATTGACAAATTTTACACTTTGGGCACACAAAATATATTGAAAATGTGCAGTTTTTTTACAGTTGTAGAAAAACATGCGTCGTAATATTGATACACGTCCCAGAAGTTGAACTGAAAAAGTTTTTGTTCATAAGGGGACTTCAACAATGATTGGAAACCACGTGACTGATTACTGTGAAACCAAAACTACATTTGTATCTCTTAAACGTTGGTGAAAAAGAGAAGCCGCATCAAAAATGGTCACGTGACACTCAATCTTGTTTTTTCCTCACCAGGACCATATTCCGATTTTTCTAAATTCAATACCAGGTTATTTTCTGTGTCGCGTGTCTTGTATCTTGTCGGAAAGGAACATTTCGATTTTTTGAAAATCAGAAGTACAAAAAGTCAGTTTTAATTACCATGATGACTATTTGAAATGAGTGTGCATCCGATTGGTTCGAAAATTAATGGAGGTGTTGAGTTTCCAATGCAACGTTAGGTTCATGTTATTTTTCAACGATTTTAATAATTTTATTGAAATATTGTAGAGGAATTCATAATGATTCCCGAACCTTGAATAAAAATGCTGCCAAAACTGATACCAGCCTAACCAAAATATTGTTTTGCTGATCTAAGTTGGTAACAGTTTTGGATCTGTGGAGTGATTACAGGAATATGCTTGATCAAGTTCTCTTGTATTGCAATGCCCCATATTCTACGACATATTATTTTCTTGATTCATCCCAATTTATATTTCTTTGTAGTAGATATACATACCATGTATCATTTACAAGCGATGAAAATATTGGAATGGATCGAAAACCAACATATTGCAGGTAAATGTGGCTTTGTAAAGGGAACCCAATATAAAATGAAATAAAAATGTTCTCAACCTTTGTGTAATTTTTGTATCTAGCTTAATTTTCGAGGAAATAAGGAAAATTCGATTTGTGCTTCAAATTTTAGTGTAGGCGTGTTTTCAAGACATTGATCGAGATCACTCAATAACCCCAATTAGAATCATTTTTGAATTTTCTGGCTTTCTCAGTCTCCAACCATACTGAATTTTAGCACAATGGAAGCACATAAAAGGGGTTTATAAATAGAATCAATCAATACTTCCAAGTTCAACATCCTGTATCTCAAAAACGTAGCAAGTTAGGAAACATGTTCATATGAACTTCATTCACTAGAATATCTCGAGGAATCATCGCTTGAATTTTTCAGGTGTTATTCATTTACACCCTGTATAATGGGTAGACGATTGAATGACGTAGGTAAAAACATATTACGAATCGACACCATTGGCCCAGTGCCGGCTGACTCATAGGCAAACGATTACATAATGTCATACAATAATGGGCCGACGTTTGACCAGTGCAACTTGGCCATGACTAGCAATCTGTCGATCTAGCATGTCATGGGCCAGAAGGCGGCCAGAGATTTGATGTTTATTGGGTTGGAATTGACCATACTCATTTCGACTTGACTCGGCTGTCACTTGATGGAAATCCATGGCAAATGTAAAAACTCCTCAAACAATAAGATTTCGACAACATTCTCAAACACACGACTTGTTATTTCGCTAACACAGTAGCTTCTTTTAGGTGATATTATGGTACAATGAACTCAACCTACCTTATTATAGCTTGCTTAACTTTTATATATATCCTACTTTCAGTTACCTGTGGACAGATTCGATAAACCTTCATTTTCGGAAATTAGGCACAATATCTACATTTAAATATCACCTACTAAGAAAACAAATCCAACAGTGGTGAATTATTTTGTGGAAATTTCATCGTTTGTGAAGTTTTTAAATTTGACTATACTTAGTTGATTCATTTTTTGTTGTTTCAGTTGGGGATCGGGAGCGAATCCTTGGGGTCCAGAAAAGGACGACCAATTTTCCAAACCTAACCATTGGGACGGTATGCTGGAAGTGGTGGGAGTAACTGGGGTAGTTCATCTGGGACAGATTCAGTCCGGATTCAGAACTGCCATGCGGATTGCTCAGGTAAATGTACAGGGTGTCTCGTTTTCGATGCTTTTGCGTGATATCTTAGTTATATTTGGAAATAGAACCTTGCGATTTTCGCGGTCCAGTGCCACTATTTTGTGAAACTGTTTCCGTTCATAAGATACAGGGCGATTTCTAAAATTCATATACTTTTTGATTTTCCTCTATACGTACGAAGTTTCTCAGCAAAAATATCAAATTGAAATCTCATCCCATAGAGAATTTAACGCAGAATCCAGTGGCGCACTGAATTTTTCACGGGGTATGGTTTTGAAGATACAACTCAAACTAATGATACAGTATGAGATAACTAGAAGAAACATTTTTGGACAACATGGTATCACTCCAAATTATATCGAGGTTTGCAGTATGCCATTCATCGCCCTGTAAAATATTTATTCTCCTATTTATTGTTTTTTGAATTCGTGAATCATCAGATGAGACTCAATAAAACTTTGACTTTATTTTTTTTTCAATGGTTTGTTTGGTCGTATCTAACGGACAGATCGTTGTCTCCTCTCACACTAAAATGTTCGTGAAACTGTTATATATTTCTATCCTCATTCAATTCTTGGAATAAACACTATAGATTTCTGGCATTTGATGTTTTTTAGGTTGTATTGAGGACATTGGCGTATCATACGTAATTTCCACATGAAATTCCTGATTCCACTCTATACATTATTATATCCAAATGATAATTTTAGAGTTTTCGATTTTTCAACTCCAGGATAATCTTTGTGAGTCAGCGAGTTTACATTTTTCTGAAAGTAGGTATTCAAACTGATGTCTTCCTATGTCATGTGTGCTGTATATTTATATATTCATGTTTGGTATCATTTTCGCAGTTTTTACAGGTTTATTTTGTATTGGTTTTACCTCGCATATTTTGCTGATGTATCTACCGATTATCCCAATTCGGTCTCTTCACTTTCCATGTTCTAAGTTCAATTGCATTTGTTGGAAAGCTGACAAATTCAAATTTGACATCCAACTGATTGATACAGCCAAACGAAGCACATTTCACTATCCTCCCAATACTAAGTACTAATTGAAATTTTGTAAGATTCCTTTCAATGCCTTTAAATGTGACTTGACAACAATGTCATGTGACGTGCCAATACACAAAGCCAGAGTCACTAGCACGATGTCACTAGACCATTAAAAGAGAGAGGAGCTATGATCTGTCCGAACCCTGTTAAGATGACAAATACGTCAATCTAATCAAGGGACCCTAAAAAAGCCACGTTTACATACCGCATGGATAGTTGGTGTGCTTACCATGGACACAGTTCAAGGAATGGGTATTTTCATAAACTGTGCCATGAATATCTAACTAAATTCAGACCAAATTCCTTAGTTAAAGAATGTTTACACGTACATGTATCTTCAGTTGACTAACGTTACCAACTTTGTTTCGATTTGATTATTCTTTCGAGAATATAGGTTGTGGAACTCCTCTTGAATTCGTAAATTGAGGATGAAACCTTTTAGTAGGATACGGAATTAGCTGAAATTGAATGAAATATTATTATGAGAACTCATGAAATAACTGTCACTTGCACTCAAGTCAATTCAAGGCTATACAAAAGTAGAGCAAAATGTTTACACCGTCTTGGTCATCATACTATTTTAGTCTGGTACGCAACAAATTTCGGTACCAGACCAAGCTGGTTACTTTATTAAGTATACAGTTTATACCAAACTGACCAAGAGTACTTCGTCGAAATATAGTCATTAGTCAACTTTCCAAGACACGGTATAAACGTGGCCAATTTACATTAAAGGATCCTAGTCGTCTCGAGTTCAAATCGGTATACCAGATTCCGAACAATTTCTGTTTTACAGGGCGGACATATAAAGATCCATCTGAATTCTGACATTCCTGTTCAAGTCGACGGTGAACCATGGGTACAAAGTCCTTGTGACGTCGTAGTTTTAAAATCCGCCCTGAAGGTAAGTCTTTTCGTCTCTCATTGTACTAGCTATAGAGTTGTTGATCGGAAAATATCATTCCTCAGTTTATGTTCTTTCAGATAACTCAATTGTGAAAAATGACCTCGATATATTGAGAGCTCTCATATTACTACACTTATGATATCAAAGAGAACATATTTCCCGCGTTTCAAGCTTCCGCAGCATGTTGCTACATGATACGAGGATGATACAAAAACTCAATGAAAATTCCATTCGAATTATTGGTGATGTGCTAAAAATTTTTTTATTTTCAATTGAGCGTTGCTGTTGAATCATCCTCGTTGTATATTGCTTTGAGTTGATGTACCCTACCCTCCCCTAAAGCTACCTAGAAAAAATCTACAGCTTTGTACAGAAAAAGCACAATTCAAATGCAGTTGTCAAAATGTTTTGATAACATTTTTCCCGTAACTTGCGAAGTCTCACGGTTTTTTTAGTGCAAGTCGCAACTAACCAGGAAGAATATTAATTTGGTGACAGAAATTGATCACGAATGCATGCAATACTATATTTATTCTACATCGAAAACTGATTTTCATCAGAGTAGTAAGTAGTTGAATCAATTTGAGGTTAGAACTGTAAACTATTGAAACAGACCTCCGAATTACATAGTTATCCCTAGAGTTCAGTGGATGGTATTAGTTGAATAAGAGTTTGGACACAGATATATAACAATTGTTATTGTTTTTGAATACTTATATTTATCAAATTAGACACCTTGCAAAAGCAGCATAGTCGTCCTGCGCCTGTTCATTCAAAATTGTTTGAATTTGACAATACATTTCATGAACATCAGAATTGGAATTGAATATTTCATAAGATATTAAGAAGAAAGCATGAATGAAAATGTTTTGCTGTTTAATGAATTGTGAGAAATCTGGCAATTGTCCATAGGCAATATCAACCATTCTGTTATGGAAGGAATGTGTATGAAACGGCCTTGACGAAAAATTAGTTCGAAGACAAGCAACATTTCTGAGCTACATACATTCAAATTCACTTCTTATAATACCAGATTTGAATGAAACTGTATTTTGAGTCAATTTTCAAACAATAGTTTTCAAAATTTATTTGAGAGAATCTGACGCTCTTCCATCTATTTACAAAACAGACAATGAAAAAAATCCATTATTATCATCACACGAAATACAAAACGAAATTATCATGGAGAAAGAGGAATTGATTGCAAGACTACGTATCGAAATTGAAAATTTGAGAACGAAACTGAGGAAATCCAGTAAATAGCAACGGGGTATATCATATATTCAATGTCGTCTTCAATATCGACCGAACTAGAGATCTATAAGAATATCGGTATGTTATATCAGAATATTGTTACATGCATTCTCCCCATTTTTATAACTGTTGTTCTGCGAGAAGTGCCATGTCCCTATAAATTGAAGTGGTTGTTTATACTCTATCTTCGGCTATGATTGATTTATCCCTTTAACGCCCAGAACTATTTTTTTCTGTAATCTTCTTTTCTTATTGCAGATTATAATTAGATATGTATTCAAAAATAGTAGAAAAATATTTAAAAAAAATATGAGCTGTCGTTTTGACAGTAACTGGTGGTAGCTCAACATACCACTGACCATTTGCGTCAACTATCATCAACTAGCGAGCATTGGTAGTTATAGCTACCAAATGATAGCAAATACAAAAAAGATTCTAAATGGCCAAAATTATCAGTTTTATTACGAAATCGAATGCTAAGTTCAATCACAAATATTCATTTCGAAATTATTTTGTATGGTATGGTGTCGAACAATCCTTACACAAGGCAATATCGCAAACTTGGCAGATTAGATTACTACATGTTTGCTTATTTTTCTCAGACCTGCACAGTACACAACGACGGTAGGTTTCCTTGACTGGGAGATGAGATCGAACATCTGATACTGCATTTGTTGATGGTGGTCCAGGTTTCTTCCTTTGTGTGTATTTCCCAATGAATTGATCTGCTTGTTCACTTCGGAATTGCAATGCTGTCAGAGGTTTTGCGCTAGAGTTTTTCATTTTCCGAGTCTCTTCATAAATGATATAACTATTCACAATTGCTACATCTACTAGATAATAAAAAAATGTTGATCCACCAACGTCTAGACTTCCAGGAGATGGAATAATTTGCATGATATTGATCGAAAAGATCCACTCCACCCATATAGCGATTATAATCAGCAATTGCTTCTGGACATGGTACCTTATCGCGCTGCCCTGTTTTGTTCGTTCTGAGTACTTCGTTTTTTTTTTGAAAAATCGTGTCTATTACTTGTAAGGGTAACGCATTTCACTCCACGATCTTTCCATTTATATACTGATATGTCACCTGATGCAACTGAATCAGATTGATTTGATGATAGATCCTTATCAGCGCACAAAAACTTCTAAGGAAAATGTTTGCGATTTTGCCTGATTGTACCACATCTAAAAAGGCCTTTGTCAAGAAGTTTCTCCATGAGAGGAATTGTATTGTCCAACCAAGTCCTCGTCTGTAAGTGATTTATTTCTTGCCATTCTGGAAACGCAATACCAAGTTCAATGATCTTCAATTGAAAATTGCCAATATTTTCCTAGCGCAATATGGTAATATCCAAAAATGACTACCTCAACATGTTTGAATATGTCTTTTATTATTTCAGAACTATCAAGTATTTCAAAAAGTTGAATGTTCTATTTTTTAGGATGTAATGAAAAGTTGTGAATTTTCGAGGTTAGGTGTTTGAAGAGTAGGAATTTTCAGTGTTTACCAAGTTAGAACCATTTGATTTTGATTATGACCTATCAAAATGATGCATAAATGTTTATTGATCACTCACCTGACGTGAAATAGTTATGGACTGATTGGAACAGTAAATATCCCGACCTAAAGTTACACAGACTGCTGAAATGTCTCGCCGCCTTTAGACCGTACTGCACAATGGTAGCTTATGCTACCGCTTCCTCTGGCAAGAGGTGAATGTACCAAAAATAACCTTGAGCGGTATCTATTCCTACCAAAAAACATCAAGACTCTCGACTCTGAACGTTAGAACCACAATAGCGTAACCGGTCAGTGGACTATAGATTTTAAAAGTCGTTGGTATGTATAGCTACCAGAGAGCGCTAAAGGGTTATAAAAAATCCAAACTCCAAAGTCGTATGTGATAATAAGACAAAGAGCAGGATATGTGTCTTATTCTTTTATTCACTAAAACCATTGTGATATAGAAAATAGCAAATGACAGCCGAAGTTCAGCTGTTTCCGAACTCATTTCTAACTAATACCATCCGGTTACTCTAGTTAACCCTAGTCAACTGTACACTCTTGAGTGATTTTTATAGGAAAACCTGGATAAGTAGACAGTAGGTATCAACTTTTGTTTCTATAATACATATAATCATTGTTATGATTTCGATCCAACAAATCCATTTTCAACACTCATACTTCATACTTTGACATATTATTGTGGAAGAATTCTTTTTCTTTCTACTTTGTTGGAGCAGATAGATTTCGTTACACAATCATCAATAATTCAGAAGAGAGAAGATCTTATCCAGATGTGTATATCTTTGGATACTACTGACTGACTACAACTAGAGTTCTTAGTTTTATTGGTTGATCTAGAACAATTCTCACTTGCACACTAGCGAATATTTAGTAACACGCTAAAATTCAATCTTGATAATATCCACACAATAAAACGCTTTTCTGTAATGAATTATTAAAGTGTTCAAAGAATAGAGTGGTACACTCCAAATGTATTTCTATCAAATTCTAACTGATTTTCGGATACCTATTGATTGATATTATTGGTGAGGAATGAAACAAAACAGTGAACAAATGACTCGTTATCAAGTGGAAAGGGAACTTTTTCATTAGGTAATTTTTGTAGCACTCGTGATAAATTACTGCAAATAGTTTAAATAGATTTTCATCATCTATAGTAGGTACTAAGCAATTGAAGTGGGACACCTGAAATTTTCGGTCAGATTCGTAAGATCATAACTTTCAAGAAAATCAACCGATTTCAATGGGGAAGTTTCCTTCAGATAAATTTTCGGAACTCTCCAGTTTTATGTTCACGCTGTACAGAATGGCGACCGATACATTTTGAATCTAGTGTGAAAACAGCTGATGTTGAAGAATATAGCTAGCGAATAGCTAACAATGAAACGAATGAAAACAAAAGAATAAGTTAAACTGGTAAACAAAAACATACATAACCACAAATGCACTCGGAGCAGGAATGCAGAGGGTAGTTGGCTTCATTCTGAAAGGTTATGCTTCGTTATTTATGCATTGAAATATCACGAATAGAGTTCGAACTTATACGAAAATGTCATTGAATCAATGAATCACTATCGGCTATATTCAATGATACCTACTATCCTTCCTAATTCACTGTCATAGGTCAGAACAGAGAATGAATCCGACGCCCATGGCTCCTTCCTCTTGTTGTGCCTGTTAGTATTTTGAGTGGTGTGGACGGACTGTTGCAAGATATAACCTGCAACCATAGAAGATGGATCTGTTTTATTAAGGAACGAATTCATTAGCAAAAAAAGTCTGACAAGTAATGAATATCATATTCCAAAAGAAAAACAAAAGACTCAAAGTCAGTCGACCACACATTTATATAACACTATATCGTCAAATACATGTTACCGGTTTCGGCACAACGGCCATCATCAGACAAAAAGTACCTGTAAATATAAATTAGATAAAACAGTATGAAGAAGGAAGGAATACAAAACCTACCGACAAAATTATGGGCACACTATAACATTATTAAAAATTAAGTTGAGAAAGGCAAAATCATGTTGTATGGCAGGAGATTCATCACCGGGTTATCAGGCTCAGACACAAATGACTAATTTTTTAAATTTACTGAAGAGCCAGAAAAAACTGGCTCTGATAAGGTTGAACATCTTATCCGAAAAATTGTTTTTTATAAACTTGAAACATGCTAAGCTAAAAGCAATAACAGAAAAAGACA